ATCATGGGTGATGATAAAGCAAATGTGTTGAGCAGAGCGAGGGTTAAAGTCCATGCGGTTATAGGATCACGGGACTATTTCCTGACAAAAAACATGGAATTTCCACCAATGGCCAAGGACTGCTACAGAAGTTGAGCACTTTATATGGCCTAACAGAGCATGATGACACCTTGAGGTTAATGCAATGAAAATAATAATAATACTTTACAGAGGGCAATCCACTGCTGTGTGAACGTCTTCCAGGTTGTTGACCATACTTCGCCAGGTAGGGGCCCGGGATTGCTTCAACTATTTTCTTGCCACTGATATTAGTTGTGGCCGGGAATCCTCCTCATGTTCATTAGAGATTAACACCGTATAATTAGGGGTGGGAAACGTCCTGCCGGCGGGCCGTATAAGGCCCGCGAAATCATTTGGTCTGGCCCTGCCAAGGCAACCGCAGGCGGGACTCGAAATTCAATAAATCTTGGAGCAAACCTGGAAAAGCAGTTGCGAGTAGCAACATCATCATCAATACCAGCTAACATCACACGCCTCACCAAAGAGAAGCAGTTCCAGCCATCACATTAGGGGTGAGTTAATTAAATGTTTGACCAAATATAACAGGATAATTTTTAAGTTGATACTTTTGTATGGCATGTGAATGATGTTATAAATTTCCAAATGGCCCTTGGCAGAAAAAAAGTTCCCCACCCCTGCCGTATATTAACACCGTATATTAACTAATCTGCCACTACTCTAAGCCTGAGATTTCAGGTGTACATCTACAGCCCTGTTGTCTATCCACTGCTGGACAAAGACATCACCATGCCGCCAAGGTAGTGGAGGTCATATCACCATATTTCACAATGCTGGTTGGTGGAGGTTGGTGAATACAGGGAGCATAGACGTTGGAGCATGGTAGAGTACCACAATGGATTTAAATTTCACAATGGATTTGCTAGCACTGCCTTCTGCCTCTAACGTATTCCCGCAGCCTCCAACACGTGTTTTGTGCATCGTTGTCGCCCATGCAAGCACTATCCGGCATCAAACCTGCGTAGCATTTAAGATCAATGATATGGGCACTTTCCATGTGATTTGGTCATAGACTCTGTGTTGGATGTGCAGCGTAATTGGCCAGCTCTTATTGACAATACAAATTATGAACAAAAAAAAGCTTATTTTTCAATAACCTATGTTGACAAGTTCTTCATGCACAATGCACTCATTGCACGATTCTTAAAATAGCCCTAAATGGAAAATAATATCCCAGCCAGCTTTACAAGATGTAATTTGGATAACTTAGTCTCCAAGGGGAAACAGATCAAATCAATAGCAGTACCACTAAGCCCATTGCAACCGTATGCATGCGGTAATTTCCATACGTATCATCTGTCTTGCCTCCCATTTGCAACGCAAAGCATGTGTGCATGCTACAGTAAATGCCACTGTTGCAAAGATCACTTACTCCGAGAATACGAGATATGGAAACATGCAGCCTTGACAGCAGCCAATTACAGTAGGTAATATGTGTACATGCGTGTGTGTGTGTCTTGCCCCATCAACCAGGTTTCAATCTACACTGGGGAGCTTTGCTTATGTTGGGGGCGTACAGCTTAGTATTGTGCTACAAACCTGGCCGCCTGAGATCGACTCCTGGCCAGTGGTGATTATCTGGACCGGTCTAGTGTACATCGCGTGGTGTATCAACTTCAGTGTGGTGCTGGCCACACCACCCCCTCTTGCGCTTCATATGTGCATACAGCACTTGTTCCGAAAGTCTGTGTGTGCTACACGGAGGATCTTTGTACTTGTGCTTTAACATATTTACATATGGCAGCCGCATGTGAGGTCCTGTATTTGTTTTGTAATGTAATATATGTGCGTACATCTACAGTACTTAGTGGACACTAAATCATTAATCAGGTACACCACACAGCTCATGGAGTGCCTGCTCTAAAACAGCTGATGCTCCAAAAGCAGTTAGAACATGGTGAATGTATCGCTTGGTATCAAAGTGGCCCGAAGAGAAACCAAACGCTTCAACCTTGCAGCTCTGGTTTGGATCAAATTGTATCTATGGAACGCACTTACACTGTGCCAGTCAACACAAATCCTCACTCATATAATACGCCATTCAAACTAGCTGCAAAATAATCCACGACTGTATGTTCTAATATCCAAACATAGTGAGGGCAAAATGAATGCATCCATTTTTTCCACTATTTTTTTTTTAAGAAACGTGTGTTTAGAGTATTTGGCTAGTTTACATTTCTACACGATAAGCCACTTCGTTGGACAATCATTTGTGGCCAGGTATCTTCTGAAAAATACCTATATAGCCCAGTGGGCTTTACCTGGTAACATAAAGAAATAAATGTTTCGTTTCATTTTAACATGTATTAAGTACCTGAACATAATCTACGATCCTTTGTTAATCCAATTGCCAAATGAAGTAGTCTGCACACGGTTTCGGTCATGGTGGGAGTTGATTATACTTCACCATGCTGGTCAATGTGGATTGTTGAAGCGGATGACAGGACCGCTCCAGTTATCACTTTCCACTGGTGTTAGCTGTGGTCAGGGATAAAACTCATGTCACCGTGTTCACAGTACAGTGTGCTAACCACTGTGGCATCACTCACACTTTTACTACTGTAGGTTTGACTTTGTTAAACATATTGAGGTGTTGACTCACCACGCAGAGAGTGTATTTAGTAGAAACTTAAACGTAGCTTTTCAGAAAACCCACTCCACTCATCTATGTTAAACATTTGGAACGCGTACGAAGATGTAATTGCGCTTTGTTTTCCTTCACGTTTTATGGTAACCTAATAGGCGGCGTGCTTACTACTTAACAATGGCTTTATCCTGCACAACGACCAACATTTGTGGTTTTGCATCATTGCACTGCGATAACTTCACATGGGACCAATCAGCAGCACATGCCTTCAAACAAGCACAGACTGAAAAAACAAAACACACACACACCAGTTGAGCTCGTCCTCTGCCAGAAACCCTTGCCTAATTTCCATTTCCATTCAGAGGCCAAGTTCAGCCGCATTTTACACATTAACTTCACGTAATGCCATCACAGAACAATTTGATGGGCAGAGGGACTTGGGGAGGGGGGGGGGGATTGGGACGACGACTGAATTTGCCGAAATGTTAAGCTTGGAGGGTGATGGTGGGGGGTAGTGATGGTGGGGGGGGGGGGGGTGATGGGGGTGGTTGGTGGAGGGGGTGGTGGTGGGGGTAGTGATGGTGTTGGTGGTGGAGGGGGTGGATGAAGGGGTGTGCGGGTGGTTGTGGGGGTGTGGGGGTGGTGGGGGTGGTGGGGGTGGTGGGAGGGGATGGGGGGTGGTGGGGGTGGGTGGGGGTTGTGGGGGGGAGGGGATGGGGGGTGTGGGGTGGGGAGTGGTGGGGGGTGTAGTGGTGGGGGGGGTTGTGGTGGGGGGGGATGGGGGTGGTGGGGGTGGGTGGGGGTTGTGGGGGGGGGTGGGAGGGGATGGGGGGTGTGGGGTGGGGAGTGGTGGGGGGGTGTAGTGGTGGGGGGGGTTGTGGTGGGGGGGGATGGGGGTGGTGGGGGTGGGTGGGGGTTGTGGGGGTGGGTGGTGGGGGGTGTAGTGGTGGTGGTGGGGTGTAGTGGTGGGGGGGGGGTCTGCGATGGGCTGGGTGGGGCAGCAGCGAGGACACAGGATGAAGGTTTTGGCTGTCGTGGGCAGTGTCGCGAGGAGCCAGTTCTGCAAGTGCATCGTCGTGCGTCACGCTTTGGCGTCTGGAGCGCGCCGCCGAGTGTGAGAACAAGGAGGGTTTTTTTCTGTTGAGACAGCAGCAGCAGAGGCAGAAGCAACAGCAGCGAGCCGCGCAGAAGAGGGCACCCCGGGGAGATCTAGAAGCGTGGCGTCAGGGTCCGCGCCGAGAGTCTCGCCGGTAGCCACAGGTCTGTCCGCAAGGGCTGCGCACGAGGTGGAGGGGGGTCCTGGACACACAACAACTATCCCAGCCACAAGTTATTTTTCTTCTTACGATCTGCTCGTCACTCCGCACGGCCGGCTACTCATCACAGGGTGTGTATGACTGTGCTCTCTCTCTCTCTCTGTGTCTCTCATCTGTTAAATTATAACTTGTTTGTGATTTCATTTTTCAGGAGGGCTCGGTTTTAAACGGCATTCGTGCCCACACTTTTCGTTATCATGTTTTTTTTTGATATGTGCTTGCTTAGCATTGAAACTTGCTTCAGCGGGAAGTTATTAAAGGGGCTTGCGCACCACGTGCGTGGTGATGCCACTGTTTATTTCATGGCTTATTTTTGTTCTCTCGGGGAATTTGCTTGCATGCAGATTTCCAGCGAGTAAGCGCGTTGTAATTGTTTTGGTCTGACTTTTTTTCATTGGCGCTTTTGTGTTCAATTATAAAACTACGATACATTTGCTCGAACCTGTCCTGCACAATGTGCGTGGTATTATTGCGTGGACGAAGCTGTGAGTTTTTGCCTGCATCAGGGTGCAGGCGAATCGGGCCACTCCAATTCAATTCTCGCTCAAAGCCACCACCAATACCAGGTGACGATTATCTACACCGGTGCGAGGCCTCCCCAAGTGGCCTCATCCTCAACTGAGTACCTGGTGCGGTGTGTAAACATAGCCACTGAGGAGACAAAGGCGGCCGACCGTGATGCTGGCCACCTCGCTCCTTGTGTGCCTTATTAGGTGTTTGCCAACACCACTGGCTCCAAGTCTGTTCAGGCTATAGGAGGGACACTCTTTGGTTCTTTCGGTAAAGTCATTTATAATTTACGTGACTTTCTCGAAAGAATCAAAGAGTATGGATTCCTGCAGTCACGAAAGCTTCAAATCAAGATATAGGAGGGATATTTGATGCGCGCATTTTGATAATGAAAACCTCCAGAATGTCAACCCACACACCTGCCCGCACTTTGCGCCATACAGAGATGTATGCGACAACTATCAACAACCATTTGTTTTGCATTATTTGTGCATTATCAGAGCTGAGACTTTTAAAGAAGGAACAAAAACCACCTGCGATTTTCAGTCACATGACTGACATCACAGCTCCCCTATGCATCACTGCACACAAACACGCGCGCCTCCCAGAGAGCCCTCTGATCTGACGACATTTTTCCCGGTACTGTCCCCAGGTATTTTACGAGACACCCACTCGCAGGTCCAGACAGCATTACCCGATGACGGGAAACACGCAGTGATACCCACAAAGCATCCGCCCAGTGCTGGGCACAGATCTCATCCCTATCATAATTAACGGCATCATCATTTACTATTTATACCGCACCCCCCCCCCCCCATATGCAATGCATCTCATCGCAGGGGATGCAGAAGACGGGAGAGATGTCCGTCCGTCACGACAGCGCGGCTGCCTCCTCCTCAAGGCGCAATCGCTGGCACGTCAGCCGCTCTTCTTGGCAGGGCAGGGCCCTGGACTCGGAGGCCGTCCCTTTCGCGAGCGGCGAGGACAGGGCCCGTACCGGTGCCGCTGCGTGGCCACAGGAGGCCTCACGCGGGCAGCAGGCGGAACGGACAAGTGGCCGTCGGAGACACGATGGCACGGAGCACAGTGGCTCAGAGAATCGGTACCCAAGCAGGCACACCAAGTTCTCCACGAAGGATTGGTGAGGAGCATTGATTTTGTTTGTATTGCATCCTTTCTTTCATCTCTAGAGTTGTAATAAAGAGTGATCTGCTTATAAGATACCACACCAAAATTAAAATAACAACAATTACATTGAAGTGTCTTTCTTAAAGGTACTGTACATCACAAATAAATGAATTGTTTGGCAAGGGTAAAAAAAAAAGTACAGTATAGAAGCTAAATGAGATAACTAAAATAGGCAGGAATGAAGGTGGTGGTGATTGTTTTACCATACTTCACCAGGCTGGGCGGTGTAAGTCAGATTTCCAGGTTCATAACACATTATGCTACGCTAACACGAATAGTTTATCCTTGGTCATATAACATCCTCCTTAGGACTATGCATAGGTGGAATAAAGTTTAACAAGAGGGACTTAGAGGCTGTGTCAATATGATCATACAAAGCAAGGCGCGACTTCTTTTGAAGTGTTTCACAAGCAGGTGTGCCTGTGCTCCTCCCTAAGTGTTCCTAAAATATTTTTCACGAGCAAAACACAGTTCGTGATCAATGTAGTTGCATGTATCAATGTTGAAAATTATTTCGCACCGTACGTAGCCAACCGTGCCAATTGGAGGTGAGCACTGTTGTCCAAATAGGAATGCTAAGTGCTGGGGAATGAGCATGGCGTGGTCTCATTCTATGACACATGTGGTGGCCATTCGATGACAGAACGCTCGCACTGCCATGTGGCACGGCACTCGACAGTCGCATCTTTGTGATGAACACACCGAGACTTAGGGCCGTGACTCTCCCATGTGCAGTCCATCTCTGTGTGTCTTGGACACAACACCTGTTAAACACAACCCTGCAGCGTGACATTGTCTAAGTGAGTGTCATGTACAAAACGAATTGGTGGGTGGGAGCGGGCGGGGGGCATTGGCGGGAAGGGGTGCACGACACACACTGTGTTAAACAAAACGTAGACGAGTCTTAACAGATTGAGTAACGATACGATTTGTTTTTGTCTGTCATGCATTCTGCTCGAGCTCTCGCCCCCAATGTACACGAGGAAAGGCTGTGATGCCCATAGTTTAAACGTACGCATGATAACAATATGAGAAAAATCCATTGTGGAAAATGTTTGACTCTATGTATATCTTATTATGAAACATTTCAAAATAATGTAAATGAAGTTTCTGTGAGGTAAGAGTTAATTTGGACAGGCAAAGGATACGAAAATATTATTAAAACTTTCCACATGTTGAATTTACTCAGCTTTATCCTGATAAATATCCGATGTTTTAACACTAAAAGTGAAAAACAATTCCTTGTCATTGCTCAATGATTCAACGGTCAATGACTCAAGGGGAAATATTTGTGCTCGGCATTTTTTGCAGGAAACAAGTTTTATTTATACATGAAGTTTCACCGGATAAAGGAAGGACTAAGTCAATACACAATGCATGCGAAATGATTGGCAAGCGCCGTGCAGATCACAAAACACCGCAAGTGGTGGCCAGAGTTGATTTCCAACAGCACCGCTAATGCTCCCGCAAACCTTCACAATTAAAGGGACGGACGACGATGATAACGACGATGAGGTGTGTGGCTGAAAAACGGGGCTCAAACTCAGCTGGGACACATCAGGCTGGAAAACAACGCCCATCGGACAGAGCACGAGAAGATTTTAATTATAATTGTATTTGTTATATTAACTTAAATAACTTAATTACAAACTAGACTATTCTCGGGATTATGAGGCGACTCCGGAAAAGTAAGACACACTAATAACGTGTGCCTAGTGCTAATAAAGTTATACAAATCTGGTTACACACACACACACACACCGACCAGATTACAACGTTTACTTTAAAATAAAGGGCTAAAATCATGTATTTTGAATGCGTTCTCATTAACAACAGCTTATTAATTATTATTTGAAACAAATGGGTGTAGTGTAAACACCTTTATAGTGTACTGTATTTTTTTTTAGATTCGCAATGCTTTGACGGCTTATGCGTTTGGCTGATATGATTGCATAACGTGCAGTTTTTTAATTACACTTCAGGGAAAGTGAAGAATGGAAATGCCTTTTGAATGCATTGAAACAAATTAATAACGTTCAAAACTATTAAGACGGCTGTCATGTATGTCGAGTACAACAGTAAACTCTCAAGAGGAACACAATACCTATTTTGTCTTGGTCTCTCCAGATGAAAATTATATCCAGAGTTAAACATTACTTGAGGCATCAGGGGACAGCGTGGGGTTGTTGGCTTTTGGAAGGGTGCCACTAATCCTAGGTTGTGAAAAGCAGTGGATGTCAATGTGCGTTCTCCTTGAAGGTCTTACATCAAATATTTCTCGTTCACAGACGGCTTCTTGAGATGTCCGTGGTCTGAATTCTCTGCCCCCTGTTAAATGCCGACTTTTGACGTGTCTCTTTTCTTCTGTCAATCACTGATGGTATTTCTCGCCAATAAATAAATAAATATGTCCACAGTTTCTGTACAGCGTCTTGAGCTGCCATCGCGATTACATGCTATACACAATCCTAATTGCATTGTATTGTATTTCACATTTGAAAATTGCACTCTCATCACGTGTAAATGAACACATTTGTGCACTGAATAAGTCAGCGGATGAGTAAAAATTGTAATCGGGAAGCGTGGAGGCACGGGGAATTGTTGGAGACCCGTTGGCATAGGCAGTGAAAGTAACTCGACATCTTATGTAATAAAAACCCAGCAGCCAAACTCCCCATCCGCTGCTTTGATCCCTCCTAGCATTCCCCTCTTTCACCCTCCTAGCACGCAATACTGGGATCCATGCCCACTCTCTGCTGATCGAGTGTCCCAGAAACTTGAAGCGGACGATGACAAAATGTATCCATATCCGTTTGGCCAGATGAGTCACTTTCAGAATGTTTTTTTCTTCACGGCATCTGACTTATCGTAATTATGCGAGGCAAATGGATCGAATGCGATTCACCCACAACAGCTGTTACCTGAGTCAGATAGTTAAATGTGGCCCGGATCAAGCACAAGCCACCCACGTACAACACCCGAGTTCAACTTTGTTAACCTCTTCAACTATTTAACACGTGGCAGGCTTTCGCGACCAATATAATCCATAAGAGATTTTTGGGTTAGATCGCGTAAATATATAAATGTGTCGTTAAAACCCGTCACCACCCGACACAGCCAACTAGTAAGGGTTGACACGTAAACAGAACATGCCAATTCGTCACTAGTACAGCACTAACTGGTGTGTTGGAGAGCCAAGCCACAACATTTACAATCTGAGTACGAAGTTTCGCCAGTAATTACAACTAGCTTGATCAGGCAACAGCCAGCGTTGTGGAGAAGTCTAACTGTAATACATTTTCTTAAACTGTCTCCTGTGATACATTTTCATTGCTTGGTATAATCACCATATGTGGCAGCAAATATTAAATGTTAATACTCTACATCCTTCATTTACGTCTTTTTCCTTTATTTCTCCAATATGTCTTGTGTTCTGTAATTTTTTTATCTCAATAAGTTCCTAAGTGTTTTAGAGTTATGTTTATTCTGTCTCTTATTGGCACATCTCTTCTTTCTCATCATGTTTGTTTGTGGTTTCAGATATTTTGTTCTGTTTGCTTATCTACTTTGTGCCAACTTTAAGTGTACTGTCCATATAGATGCGAGTTATTTATTTTTATTATTATTGGTGAAATGTATATCACAATTTGTCTTCCCTAGAGGTTGTTATCTGTTTTTTATGATCAATCTTAATTCCCACCCCCACTTGCTGAACTTGAACTACACATTTGGTGTTGAGTGTCTTGTTCTCGCCTGTAATTAGCTTTGTCCTTTCTTTGGTAATGTTACATAGCAACAGCCTGCGATCGCTTCCTTTGCTGGAGTTTGCAGAGGACAGAGACATATCTGATTGTCTGACGTTTCATCTTCTTGGTTCTTTTGGTAAAGTCACGTAGAAGGGAAGTAATAAAATAATAAAAATAAAACATAATAAAATCAAATAATTCTCACGACGTTTCGGCTACAACGCAAGCAGCCGTCTTCAGGTGAAGAATGAGACACTGCCAAGCTAGGAGCTTATATATAAGCTGAGTTGGAGGTGGAAGAAGAAGAGAGCCTTAACAAAAGAATGTGCATATCAAGAGGAATTTGTGAGGCGATCCACATATACAAACACAGAGACAATTTCAACCGAGAAGATGGATTCTGGCTCAGAAATCATTGGAAGGACGTAATAAACCACTTCGGATCTTAACTGATTGTTGTTCACGTTTATGGTGACTTTCAGACCGCAGTCCACTCACTGGCATTAACTGTGTATCTTGTGTTCTCCACAGGGAATGCATTATTTGCACCGCTGCGGATCTCCTGCCACCGTTTTCCCATTCACATGTTTCATTGCTTCTACATACTATTAACATGCCCTCCCTTTGTTAATGCTACCCCCCCTCCCTTTGGTGCTGCTGATCCTGCATAATGCATGGGCATAATATGACTTTGAAACCCCCCCGCCCACCTCCTACGCATGTCCCATGAATATGCTAAATTCCTCTTGATATGCACATTCTTTTGTTAAGGCTCTCTTCTTCTTCCACCTCCAACTCAGCTTATATATAAGCTCCTAGCTTGGCAGTGTCTCATTCTTCACCTGAAGATGGATGCTTGCGTTGTAGCCGAAACGTCGTGAGAATTATTTGATTTTATTATGTTTTATTTTTATTATTTTATTACTTCCCTTCTACGTGACTTTACCGAAAGAACCAAGAAGATGAATCCCTGCAGTCACGAAAGCTTTAAATCGAAATGTCTGACGTTTGTCCGTGAAAATCAAGGCAATTTTATTTATATATACTTCCCATTTGGGCTTTTTTGAATGTCCATTTTTTCGACTCCTTTTTTGCTAACTGCAAACACGATGAGACATTCTCTTCTCCAGGTCCCTCACTCTGATGCCAAATTTACCAATCATCCTCTAATTTCTGCTCTTTTTAAAAAAATCCTTTAAGTCAACCAATTATGATGTTCTTGTCGTCATGCATTTTGCCCTCATTTAGAAGTTGCTTAATGTCTTTATACTCATACATTTAGTGTGAGGCACGTGGCCACCTCCCTGGTATCCAGCGCAATTGACAGCCAAGGGCAAAACGAGAACGTGAGCGCAGTGGAAACATTGCGATGTCCGTTTTACTGATGGGTGCTGGTGGCGACCTAGGCTGGTGGAGCTGCTGAGCTTGGGCCGGGAGGACGCCGAGGAGACGCTGCTGAGCCTGGGCTTTGGGGACGAGGACCCCGACTCCGTGGCTCGTGTCCCCCAGCGTTTCCTGCAGGCACCGTCACGAGCCCAGGGCATCAGTGCCGACCTCCTGCAGCAGACCCTGGCGCGGCGCAATGATCAGGACCACCTGATTATCCTGGGTGTGGACAGCACTGCCATGAGACACGCAGAGGCATTGCACGGCTCTTAATGCATTCAAACGAAGGTTGAAAAGCAATTATACATCTCTGGAGGAGGATTGAATCATGTTCTGATGATCTCATATTGACTCAATTTTGGTCTCAAGTTGTTGCTGTTATGAGCTTTCCTGCCAAAATGATCAAAGTGGTGTTCAAAACTTGGAGACACAAACCAGATCAAACATGACTATATTAAAATTAGCAAATGCATTTTCCCTGACGGCTACCTAAAGTTGAAAACACGCTGGAAATCATGAGATTATCCATGCGCATGCATGATTTTTTGTCATTGTTTGAAAATAGTGAACTCTCAATTATCCAGGTAGGTGGCTCGGATAAAACTAAAAACACAAAAAATGCAAAACTTGCTTAAAATAGGCTTTGCAAATGTGTTCCTTACCTGCATAGAATGGGGGTGAAGATGGTTTTTCAACCAACCGGTTTGACTCGCCAACATGTTTGTGGTCATTTGGGGACGTGGTCACTGACCCTTGACGAGTGAGAAGCGAAGTCAGTAATTAAACCAAAGGCGCATTAAGTAACATTCAGTAAAACCTGTCATGCGTGGCAACCAGCGACACTGCTACTCCTACTTTGCTTTACACAGATGTTCGCAGCAATAAAAGCAATTCCTCAATATCATATAAACTTAGGAGAATCAAAGTCGTGCTCTGCCCATCACGTGGGGTTGCCTCCCATACAAAATTAATGTGGACAGTACACATTTCAGATGGGTCTCCTCAGTAAATTCTATATGTCTAAACCATCCCTAAAGCCTCTCGTAAATCATGTGACTTCTGTGTGGCCACCCTGACTCTAAATCGCTGCCCTCTCCCTGCCCTCTATGAAAATCAACTCTGCTCCGGTCAGCGACGAAGCTTTTATATAGCCTATTCATCTTTCCTGACCCTTTGCTCCAATTTCTCCATTCGTTCTCCTTTTAGTTCCAATTTTGTATTCTTTATTTGATTTCCCGTTCCTTTTTCCACACGGGTACAACAGTTGCTAGGTTTACTCTATTTAATGCTTTAAACATCTTGCATTAATTCTAGATTTGAAGTTTTCGTGACTGCAAGGATCCATACTCTTTGGTTCTTTCGGTAAAGTCACTTAGATGGAAAAAGAAATAAATAACGGCGTACTATTTAGTTATTTTAATTTTATTATTTTTATTATTATTTTTTCATCTACGTGACTTTACCGAAAGAAACCAAAGAATATACATCTTGCATTGTTTGACACCGTTGTCCCACACACCTACTTGCTAGGATGTATGATTTTGTACAACGCATTTCGTGTGCTGTCTTTGTATTCCCCGTGGCAATTTTCAAAGGTTTATCCATCTGGCAGTGGCAGTAACTCAGGGTGCATTGTTCAGCGTCACTCTCCGGCACTGGTCGGGTTGCCCACCCTCCCGGATTGGCCGGGAGTCTCTACCAGAATTGGCATTGATCTCCGGGTGACTATTGAAAGCAATCCGAGATATTAAATAGGCTATTTTAAGAAACTAAATTAATAAAAACATCTTCCAGAATGTCTTCAGTCAAGAGTTGGCAACCCTATGCACTGTACTTGTAATGTGATGTGATTTTCTGCATTGAATAGAATGCACTGCAACACATGTATTGCACATACGAATAACAATTATTAATAATATGTGTGATGAAGTGGAATCAATGTGTTCTTACCCGATTGAAAGTACATGCAGTTGTCAATAGTAGGGTTACATAGTTGGGCAGGCGATCTATGATTACTGTGTGTAGCTGTGAACAGAGTTGTGGTCAATGGTGAGATGAGGCTACTATAAGTGCATGCAAATGCATGGGTGGGGGGGTCTATGGATGTGCCATGTGATTATTCTAATCACCACATTCTAATTGGCTAATTGGGGAGAAATTATTTACCTTTTAATGTACTGCCGACCCTTAATATTCGCAGGTCGTTTATATGCACCGATTATGCCTATTTACAACAAATGTATTCCATTGGAACCTCATTTGCCAGTAAAAATATGATAATTGTTTTTTTAGCCTTCTATCTGGCAACAAAACTGACACCTTTTTTTTACAAGGAGTCATGTTTGCATAGACCACAATACCTGCAGTCATAATGCAAACAAAAAACACAACTCTGATAATGTATGTGCACTGTCCTTGAAGTTGATTGGTCCACACCCACACTCACATGGGTTGGACCAGATGACGCGTCATCTGGTCCAACCCATGTGAGACTAGGCTCTAAGGAAAGCTGTCTCGGGTGTGGACCAATCAACTTCAAGGACAGTGCATACATTATCAGAGTTGTGTTTTTTGTTTGCATTATGACTGCAGGTATTGTGGTCTATGCAAACATGACTCCTTGTAAAAAAAAATGTGTCAGTTTTGTTGCCAGATAGAAGGGTAAAAAAACTATTATCAACAAATGTATTGTTACGCTATTTTAAATTCGCGGGGTTGTAATTTAAATATTCGCGGCTGTAGCACGCGAAAGTTGTCCGTGCCTCGCTGTGTACACGCTAGTGCTTTCATTTACAGTCGTTTGCAATTACGAACTGCGTAATATGTATCTGTTTATTTATATTTGCTATTTCAACTATGTTTATATTCATACAGTTTACATGTTTAAAAAAATATGTTCATGCCCCCTTAACCTTTTTTTCTCATAAGCTGTAAGTATTAATATTCGGACCATTGTCCAGGAATGTACCTCGGGCAAATATTAAGGATTTACTGTATTCAAATCTTAGGCTTTAATAAATGGCAAATTCCCATAGGGAATACAGTAGTACATGCAGTTAACAGCATTGTACAGCAGTATTTTAACATGTGCAATTACACTGTAACTTAAATATACCTTTTTTCATGGATACAGCCATGACATTTGGAAAGCTCTGGGCCATGACAACTACATCACAGCTGATTTTAGTAATTAAAGTGCCACCCAATTCACACAAATACTAGCTATGTCATTAACAGTATTTGAACTAATTTTGTGTCCTCAGATCGTTTCAAGCATGCACACAAACTGCCGGCTCATTTTTTTACCACGAGCTTAGCAGAATGGGATGCAGGGGCTGTAAATCCAGCTTCTCGGGAGTTTCATCTGGAGCCGATGCCAGGGTCGACACAATCGAGAGCATCGCCGTGCCAGAAAGTAGACGGCGGCGATAATGTCGCAAACCAAAGGAGGTGTGGCAGACACTCGGGCAGGGCCTGGTTGATTCAGCAGCTTAGGAGGAGCGTTTCCTGGCAGAGCGTGGTGGAAGAACCCACGGTGCCATCACACAACGTTAACCAAAGTTCGTGTCACAGCCTTGATGTTTGGGCTGACGTCGAATCACCTGAATCTTCTCCCACAGAGCAAGGGGTTTTTCAAAAGACCGGCCACAACGAATGCCTTTCTAAGGCCACCAGTGAACTAAATTTAGACCGCGCAACTATAAATTCATACACGGAAAGGGATGACATCCAAAAACACGTGGATGCTCAAGAACTGCCAGAAAGTGATGGCTTTGTCCGCCAAAAGTGTGTGGGCAGGTCAGTGGGAAGACCGTTTCGCAAGAAGAGCAAGGAATATTCAAACGACGGCGTGGAAGACTTTGAAGAGCTGTCCCGTGATGAGAACGCTTGTCTGACCGACAAGAGAGCCGTTCCACTCGTACTACCACCTCGAAGGGACGGCAATGGTAACGGTGGCTGCCACACAGACGAGCGTGGACCGGCGGGCGCCCCGCAGGAGGCTGACGACGCGAACTCAGGCGGAGCATCGTGCCCAGGCGGACATCTCCCACAATCCCTGCAGCACGACGACGCGTGCCAGAAGGACTCGTTTGAGATGGACGAGGTGAGTGGACAACGGCACCTCCGCTTCGAGTAAAAAGGAGGATTGGGCTTCATGAAGGCGCGGCAGTCGGTGCGTTAACCACAAATAGCGCACGTGGTCTGCTGCTTCATGGTGGATGTTCAAGATTCGGTTCGGGAAAAAGAGTATGCCAAGTGTGCCGGTTAAATTTCGATTTAAAGCTTTCGTGACTGCAGGGATTCATCTTCTTAGTTCTTTCGGTAAAGTCACGTAATAAAATAATAAAAATAAAACATAATAAAATAATTCTCACGACGTTTCGGCCACAACGCAAGCAGCCGTCCTCAGGTGACCGAAACGTCGTGAGAATTATTTTATTATGTTTTATTTTTATTATTTTATTATTTCCCTTCTACGTGACTTTACCGAAAGAACCAAGAAGAAGTGTGCCGGTGTCGCATTACAATTTTTCAGATATCATTTTTTTCATTATTTACAAATGACTTAATTGGCTAAAACCACATAGCAACTGGCAGACTTTACTTGCCAGTGCAACGTAGTATCGTTCTTATAGCTCTGCGCTATAAGAATGATGCGAATGCCACATGTTCCAAATTACAGTATTATTATTGCTATTAAAATAACAGGGTTACTAAAGTGTATTGGAATAACCTATGCGTGGCTACTAATTGACACAATATTTGTTTACTCATTGTAAATGCGCCGCTCACTAGTGTAAGAGCGGAAAATGGAATCAGGGTGTAAAGATTGCCACACCAGCAGAATACAGGGAATGATGCCAAGGTGTGGTGGCATTAGGCATGATGTCATCTAGATCATGACTTAAGTAGCCTTTTAAGTGCACAATACTCCTTTGGCAGGTTATTTTTAAATACCATAGAGCTCTTTGTGCAGTCCCAGCATGTTTAAGACTCATTTCTGCAATTAGTGGAATGACAAATGCTTTTTCTTTTAGATTATGCCATTATATTTCTCTTGGCTCAATACTTCACTGTAATCCTGCTCATTGCCATATAAGTGGAGAAAAATAACAAGATCTGGACAAGCTCATCCAACGAGCTTTTCTGAAAACAGCAGAGAACTAAATGTATGGCATTGTGAAAAAAAACAATCCGTGGCCAGGGGACATTCTTTATTCACTGCAAAGCCTAAATTAATATATTTTCATTCAGTGGTGGCACCTTTGTTGAAACGTCCATCCGTGAACGTGTCTACATTTGTCATCTGCTCATCACAATGGGTGGATAATAAACGACCTGCAATCCACACTCTCTTTCTTCATCTTGCCAAAGCATTCCAACCTGCTATTGCTTGCCTCTTTATTTCATTATTTGAATCCTGGTCCATGCAATGTCGCACGAACTCTGATATTCGCTTAATGTCTGTTGCTTTGCGAATTACAGATGGCAATGTTGCAGTGGTCAGCGAGATGTTAATTTTCTTCATTAAAATGTTTTGCTCACTCTCCAGGTCAGGTCACACCCTCCTCAAATACAAACTTGCATCTTGAACATTATAATTTTGCGTTTACTTTTTGCATTTGCTCATCATGATTATCATCAGCCTTGTGTTATCCACTACTGAATGAAAACCTTCCCATACCATCACCATCCCTTATGGTGACATGATGCTACTCAATTTCACACCTGCTCATTTGCTGATCTCATCGATCCAGCTCTGTGGTCGTCTTCTTCTCAGACGTGTTCCCTTCTTTTGCTACCATTCCATCACTGGTATCTTCTATTTGCCGCTATCCCTTTTCACGATGTGTGCTGCCCAATCAAACCTGTCAATAATGATGTCTGGATTTGTTTTATTGTTCTCTACATTGGATGGCTGGAGCATATATGATAACACTCCATTAAGAATAAAAATGATTTAATAGGTGACGTTTTGGGCAATGTCTCTTTTTCAGAGCACTGAGATTTAGGCAAATTTAGTTTTGCTATTGCTCATCGACATACTCGTGTTGATTTTTGATTCATAAGCATAATGAAGATTTTGACGAGTGCAAAGGCATGATGTGGTGGCTTTTGTGTTGTCTTGTAATGCTCAGGTGCGCAGCGAGGATGGAGAGGGCATGCATGGAGCGTGTGTGGATGGGAGTTCCGGTGCTGAAGGTCAGTGGCAAATTCATTTTGATGTAATCATATGCGAACTTGTTTATATTTTGAATGAAAAAAATGCACTGTTATTACTTTTTTGTATGTTTTTCTAATACAGTATATTCTCAGAGCGCTATTATATTCGTGTCAATGGCGCACATTTTAAAGATTGCTTCCTGTCATACCAAACCCCTAAAATGAATTTCACTGGGCAATGTCAACTAAAATTAGTCTTACAAATTCCTTTTAAGCAATGCCATGCATTTATCCAGGAAAGCCACACCCAATTCCAAGAAGCCTTTTCAATTTGGATCCTGTCACATTGGGATGTTTAGCCAATTCCACAAATGGGTGTTTGGCTTCTTTCGGGAGGAAACCTGTGTACCTGGAGAAAATCCACCACGCGAACAAGGGGGGTGGTGACACTCCAAATTGCCTCCTGGTCATCTTGCTGCCTCACACTTACAACTCTTGGAGCCTTGATGATCACTCATCCCAACACGGCCCAGGCTCAAGCCTGCTTAGCTTCTGTCAAAGATTAGTTGAATGTAGATTTTTCAATGATTATGACGACAGTAGTGATGAAGTGTAATGGACCATGGTTTATGATGCTGTGACCTGGTTACACTGACCTCTGTCCCTCCGTCCGACTTGTCCATTTGCCCCCAAAGCCGACCTTGTGCGAACAAGTAGCGTGCAGTCGGACAGCAGTGGCTACTCAGAGGAGCCAGCTGGAGATCAGACGCCTGCACTGCCACCGCCGCCTCCACCACCGCCTTCAGGGGGCGTCACAGATTCCGCAGAGACGTGGATCCTGGAGTGAACGATCGTCGCCATTAGTGAAGAACAAACACAAATGCGTGGCTCCGTTTGGTACGGTTAGATTGTCTAACGAGAGAAACTTAATTTATTAATCTAATTTTCTATTTATCTTTTTGTATGTATACATGGTTTCCTTTGCAAGAGGGACTTGTTTCATTGAGCTCTGACCTGGTAAAAGAAAGCCTACTACTTCTGCTTAAATATGCTTGTATTAGAGTCCAGGAATTAATATAAATGTTTAATAATAAGACAACAATAGAAACTGGTTTAATGGTTATTCCAACTTAAGTACTTTTACACCAGATATCATGTTAAAGCACAATGCGAGACGTTTTAAGTGTGTTTTGTAAGATGAGCTCAGGTGGATCACCCTTGCTGGATTACATTCTGCTGCTGTCAACAAAAGCATAACTGTGTAATCACGTATGTCATGAGCTGAACTGGACATTACGCAAAGCATCTGTTTATCATCAGGATGACTGATACCTAAACCACACCACTAAATTAGTCTTAAACAATTGTGCAATACGATACAGTAAAATAAACATAAATGCTCCAATAAATGTTTACAAGTTATCAGCAGTAACTGTTGCCTGGATTTTCATTGAACTCATTGAGCATTACACCATCAACTGACTAAACTCAAGGCAAAAGCAGGGTTATCACTTGCCTATTCTACTTGGGCAATGACAAAACTGCAGTGATAATACACAAAAGACAAATTGAGTGTCGCAAACTGTTTAGAACAAACAAAAAACCAGGACATTTATGGGAAGACGAAGATCTACAACACTGATAGGGAGAACATGTAAATACATGCACTTTCTTGAACGGTCTATTGTTATGTAACTTTCAAAGCTGGAACTATTAACGTCCCTAATATAATTCGATGTCCCAGGACAGCTACCTCAGCTACCCTTAAAAAATTATGCTTATTTATTGTAACGATAATATAATTCTCACACAGTAAGCGAATACACGAATCAATGTGAATTGAGCGTTCCACAAAGGCCTTCAACAACGGATTTATTGGTTTACATGAAACGGTATTTGTTTATTCATCTAATGCAGAGATTTCACACAAAAAAATGGAGAAAAAAATGAAGTCACAGTATTCGGTCTCTCTTTGTTTCCGTCAGTGCTGTACTGGGTAAGTCAATAAATGGTCTGCGACATTCTCCTTGTTACAGAAAACAAAACATGTATCTCCATTGCCAAAAAAGTTCATGAACATTTAAAATGCATCAAACATCAACACATTTTTAGGAGAATCTTCGCACAGAGCCAAATATCTCTTAAGTAAATGCCGTTATGGACGCCATTGTCAATGCACGAATAAAAAAAAAACTTAATACAGTGTAACCAAAAACTGTAGCCCAAAGATGCACTGAGATTGTTACCCCCACAGTGCCATTGTCCAGTTACCCAAGACTAAAAGTTCGTGAATAAATGCGTGTGCATTACTAATGAGTGAAGTAAAAACCAGTCCAAGGTCGCATGGTTTAAACAAATGCAATTGGAAACAAACTTGAAGGCGTAGGACGATGATGCAATACATGTTATTTTCTTTCAACAAATTACCAACTCTGCCTTACTGGCTTCTATCTACAAGGGCGTTTCAAGGTTAACCTGTACTTTTTGTTCTAGATAATGGGAAAAGAATGATAAATCACTGCTGGAAGATTGTGGAAGTTGGAATGGCAACATTTGGCAACTCCAGTGTGAAGTGACATCTCGGCTGTGCAAAGCAGTCTGGGTATTTTCCAAGATAGCGGAATAAAAGTCTTGTCACGTGTTGTGGGGCAGCATTGTTATGAAATGTTTGGTGGAGGAAAATGTCAGTAACTGAAATGTATACGATGTCAGATGTAAATTTTTGCTATGCGTGTCTCATGCATAGGTGTGTTAGGTGCATTAGGTTTAAAAGTAGAAATGAGTAAATACAACGTGGTGAGGATGTGAAAGCAGATGTCCTGCAATGTCTGCGTACTTGTAAAAAAAACTCTATACGCTACCGGCAATAAGGTGTCATAACACCTATGGGTCAAATGAATGTGTAGCAGGGGAATACGTTGATAAACAGTACGAATCATTCACTTAGGTTTACTTCTACACATCTCAACGTTCAGGTTATCCTTGAACCACCCTCATATAATGCAGTTTTAATGTAAATAGTTGTCTTTAAAAAAGTGATCTTTCTTGAATTCCCTATCATTTATATTTCTCTCAAGAATTTCAAACCATGAGCCATGAACACAAAATGGCCAGGTTACCTGAAGGGTTGTGAGGATGGCCAAAGCCGGGCTCAAATTTAGGTCAGGCCCAAAACGGGTGGTGTGGTGTCATTGACCTTCAGGACAGGGCATGTTAATTAAAGACCACATCAAGCTCCATGGTGCCAGTTCTTCTGAGGAATGGACTTTAGTGTCCTCACGTTATTGTCTATGCAGCAAACGCTCTTGAGGCTGGACTTCGGGATAAGCATTGCCAGTCTATCATAACTGAGATCCAGTATGACAGCCTTATGCTTAACAGTTGTTGATGCAACCCGTGTCTGGTTCAGCACCTATGACTTTTCTGCATTTTTTGTAGTTACAATTACAGCCATAATACAGTTGAACAAATTGGGAAAAAAATTAATTACATTAAATCCATCTCAATTCATTTCATGAAATACATATGGAAATCTTAATTCCCATTATTACCGGTGTTAATATACAATACACATCGTATAATAATCATACACACGTGTAAAATGAGCCGTAACTGTTTAATGACGCAATATAATGCAAGACGGCTACAAAGGCCACCTTTACAGTCACTTTTTTTGCACACCAGTGCCCTCCGGCCCCCAAACCAAAACGGGCAAAATAAATTACGGAATAAACTTGAGGAATAAATTGCTTACGCTTGTACTCGTTCGCCTCACGGTACTCTGTGGCTTAGTGCCACTTGTGCCACTTGTTCCCACGACTACTTCGTAGTCCGGATTCCCACGGCAGCCTCGTGACGAGAGCGTGCCCACGTGGTGGCTCCCTGTGGCCAAGGTGGCTAAGCCCGCTTGCTTTAAGCCGGGCCCACCCTAGGAAACAGTCGCGATGTCAAGGGGGCCAACTCAGAAGAGACGACAGCCATTAAGGTTTACTGCGGGCCCATCATTTTCTTATTTTTTACAAAATAACGGTGGTTAGCTTCTGGGTAATGGTAGCCAACGTCAGTATGCGTTAAAACTACTTTTTATACAATTGTGCTTGAACACATTTCAGGCGTGGCTCGGATCTGTTCATATTTGTCATGGAAATGCAGCAAGTCATTCACCCCCACTGTACAGAGGTGATGATAGTTGTAAATGAGTGGCGAACTAATATAAAACAGCTTTAGGGTATATCAATTCCCTATACTTAGTTTAATCCCAGGTTAAAGCCCAGGTTGCTAGAGCACATACTAGTCAGTGCGTGGTGAGGCCTTCATCGAACAGTGGATTAACAAAAGCCTGGACATTATTTGGTTTACATATAAAAGCCCAGGATGTGACACCCAAGATGTTCGTGTTGCTGGCTAAGCACTCCCGACACAGATACTGGAGCCCTGAGACATTCATCCACGTCCACTAATCTCCTTATTGCATGTCAATCAATGTCAAATGCTTGTCCATGTAATAGCTAAGATGAACGCGACAAGGGCATTAACAGCTGATTTAAGTGACAAGGGAGCAAGGACAATTCACACCAAACCTGGATTTAGGCGGCCAAGTCCAGCTGTGCGGTACAGCACTGCCCCCTACCCTGGTGTGCACGGGGAGGTGCCATCGCAGCCTCAACGCTCAAGAGATGCAGGCACTGAAGAGCCACCGCAGAGTTTACACCGTGCGATGATTGGCGTGCTTTCCGCAGACATACCCTTACCAGTGTTTAGAAAACAAAATCGAAATGCTGCTGCCATGAAAAAGTAAGCCTGAATTTGTAAGTCTAAGTAATTAAATACAACTCTTTTTTTTGTTTCCTGCGTTTTCTTGAGAACAGTAAATAAAGGTGGAGGAGTGGGGGGGGGGGTTCAGTGGTCCGCCTCTGAGGCTCTCTGCCTCAACGTCCGCGGCTTCGAGCGATAGGCAACAAGGGTACGGCAAAGAGTCTTACTGTGCCACTACGTGGCCTTCAGATTCGAGCAGTCGGCCGCACAGCGGATGGTTCGGTTTGTACGGTCGCTCGGCCGATGCCGGAGTGCGCAGGCTGCGAACAGCTGGGACAAGGCAACAAGGGTGTGGGACTGAATCGCACAATTGGCGCCCTACGTGCGACGGGGTCGTTCTGTTTATACCAACTCTGCGTCCGTGCTCCTCCGTGCGGTCCGTGGTGGCGAATTTCAAAGTGGAGACACTGCACCATCGTCTCGCTCTTAATGTTGCCCCTAGTTCCTTGGCCTGTGGAGGTCAAGTGAGGGAATTACAGCGCAGTATCTACTCGTAGGCTTAATTTACCTCGGTTCCTACGTTCTCTGAGAATCAGAAAAAAAACGTTATTTTGTTTTCATTTAATTTGCTTACAATATAATATATATATTTTTATTTATTCTGAAGCTTTGGTTCTGTCTTAAGAACACAAAATATCTCGTCCTGTAAACATTGAAGCGGCATAGCGGAACGGAAGTCTTCAATCGTAAGTTTCCATTCTGAAGCGGCAGCTGCCTCCACCGCCACCACCACCAGCACCGCTGCTGCTGCCGCCGCCACCGCCACCACAATCCCAGCTCCTGTTCGTTCCCCCTGGTGGGTAGAGGGGGCAGCACTGTCAACACCAGACACCATCGCTTCCACGTCGCCTCCAAGGAGCCAGGACCGGCGGAGTGACGGTGACGGGAAAACGGAACGCGCTGCGTCGGCTAGCGCAGCACGTTGGCCCTCATGCTGAGGCGACGCAGCCTGCGTGCTTTGGTGCGGGCGTCCGTGCTGCTGGAACGACGTGTCGTGTCCGGGGGGCTTGGGCTGGTGTGGTAGCTGGCGCAGTACGGGGGCCGGTCACTGTCATCACCCATGAACTTGAGCCCCACGACGCCGACCGAGGCTGGGGAAAGGGAAGAAGAGAGCGAGGGAAGTGAGCCGTCGCCTCGACCAAAGCACCAAACAGAAAGGGGGATTTTTTGTTCTTTTGTTATCAAGATGGTGGAGGGGGGTTAGGCAGTGAAGGAAGGGAAGCATTCATGACCAAAAATGCACAATATCACAGCAAGTCCACCCTGGTTAGCAAAATAGAATGTGGGAATGGGAAGTTAGGTCATGCATTGGTTTGGTCAGGTAGAAGTTGTTGTTTTCAAGGTATTGTATGATTGAGATGGTAAATTGAGGAAGTGATGGCTCAACCTTGGAGAAGCTGCTTTCCCCAATTCCTACTGATCCGCTGCGACTTCTGAGCCTGAAAGAAAAAGACCTAAGTTATCTAAACAGAAAAACTCGAGATGTCCCCGACACAAACCCTGGAAACTAAAACAAAATGTTAAAAATACCTGTGGGAGAGAAACACGTGCATTGATTGTTATGCATGGGAAGAAATATGTTAAAAGTAAAAATGGGGCATTCGTGAAAAGTCACACTGCACATGGAGCAGCACAGAGGTCACTTAGGATGGAGCTGAAAACAAAACCGCGTACACGCTTCAGTCTCTTATCGTATGTATCATTACAATGAACCAAAACCGTCCATCAATCCTCTCTTGAAGCCTCATCTCTACTTCCCTCCCCTCACCCCTCCACTCCTCCCCGTTCCTCCCCTACCCTTTCCTCTATCGTGGTGCCTCATCCTGCAGTCCTTGCACGCCCCTGCTATCCAAATCGTGTTTTTGTGCTGCCGTTTTGTAAACTATGTTCAGCGCCTCGAGTAAAAGGCGCTCTATAAATATAATATAATAGGCAGTCTAATTGCTAAAAGGCAACGGGGCTTTGCAGTGGAAACTAAAGTGACGCTACTCTGATTTCCCATTTGCCAATTCTTACGGTGGGATAAGTTTGTGCATAGTATTAACCACGGTTGTCTACATGTAGTGTTGTATTTAACAATGTGTTTTACGTATAATTATATGTATACAATACACTCAAGAATCAGAAAATTAACATATGCAATTTTTGTGAGAGTTTATGAATGAATGCATTAATAAAATCGCATGTACGTTTATGAATGAACACAGAAATGGGCACACTACGTGAATACGAGCTTGTTAATAATCTATTAGCGGGCTCACTAATTATACACGTACGAGTTCATCGATCAATGAATTAATGGTCTCACTAATTACATCTGTACGAGTTTACGAACGAACATGTCAGTGAACTCATTAATTAAATTGATACGATGTTATGAATTCACGTGTTAATGGACCCACTAAATCGTACACGTATGACTGTACCAGGGTTCGGCAACCAATATGACAGAGAGAGACAATTTTTTGTTCCACTTTGCTTAAAAGCTCAATATTTCAAGAGCCACGATGCTTGTGCGTAACGTCACGTAGCAGTCCCTCAAAGAGCCGCATGCGGGTTCTGGAACTGCAGGTTGCTGACGCCTGGATTATAGCAATTCACATATTCACGTATCACAGCTTCGCCCTTTACTTGCTCTCATCTATTTAATTTCGCCTAATCTTCGCCATTACATTCACATGTTCCATTGTTAATTCTCTGCATCGCACCTTGACCAAGGCACTATATAAATTACAATAAGATGTATTAATAATAGGCCACACCTCCATTTAAAAATCACATTTAAGAAGCTGCACTCCGAACATTACGCCTGCTAATTTGGCAAAACATTGCGGTACAAACCCACCACCCCCCCCCCCCACCACACTCTCGGACCATGCACTCCCTTAGCACGAAACGCACGCACATTCTCATCGGGTTGCCTGGCAGCTCCAGGTGAGAAGTCTCGCAAGGCCCCACTGCGCTACGGATAAAAATGAACTCGGAGGCAGATTATTTATTATTCAAGTAAATCGGCTTGCATCTCACCTTCCTCCACCTGCTTGTGTTCCTCCGACGGGAGCTGCCGTTGCGATGGAGACGGTCCGTTCTGTCCCTTGCTGCTCCCCTCTGGGCTGTCTGCACATGGCAACAGCAGCAACAACAGCAGCGCTGGTGACAATGGCAGCAGCTATCATACAAGCTACAGCACCTGACAATTCAATAAAAAGTGAGCTGTATGCACATGTACAGCCCCTTTTGCCAATCCACTGCTGGATGAGGGCCGTGCAATCATAACACACGATATCTTCATCTTAAGTTCAATCTTAATCTATGTCACGTGGGACATTACACAAAGACAAAAATCCCCCATAAAGCCTTTAACAAATTCTTGGGGCAAGTGCTGTTAGCAAGCACCTATTAAGGCCGGCACGGTACACATGGAGGTGGGTGGCCAGCACCACTCCCGGCCGCCTTTGCCTTCTCCCCAAAGCTGATGTTTACACACTGCATTGGGTATTCATGTAAGGCTGAGTCGACCTAGCTGATGCCCAGAACCAGTTTCAGATATTCGTCACTGATATTGGATACGAACTTGAGTCACCGAGTTCGTAGCACAGTGCGATAACCACTACACTACCGCTCCCCATGGGACATTACACGTACACACAAACACACACACACGATCCCTATACATTTGAATTAGCACTTTCCATATCAAGCGTATTTTGCTTAACCAGGTGAGAACTCAAGAGACCGGGGTAATTCTCATTAACAAGATCGACCTGAGCAACCTGAGTGACCGCAGCATGAGGGACATTTCTCGTATACACACACACATACACAATCTCTATCTTCAGATCAGCGCTCTCTACATCACGTGGCACATATTTACTCGTCATCAGGCGAGCGCAGCGTGTCACGAATACAAGTCGTTTCAGAATGGAGGAGATTGTTAAACATGCAGAGACGGAGTGTGATGGGTGGTGAGGACTGGCGTTCAAGGAGCTAGTAGATGACTGTTGGGGGAAGGCGTCTGTAATGGGGTGGGTGGGGGGGGTATCGGCAAATGGGGCAGACGAAGTAGTTAAGAGGAAGTCAACAGTGCTGATAACCAGGGTGAATGGGTTTCACACAACAGGTGCAGCAGAGCAGGAGGTGTGACCCTCCCAATGACAGGAGGTTGACGCTGGGTTTCGTCCGGTGGCGTCCTTGATTGTTGGAGCTGGGGCTATGCAGGAGTAGGGAAGTATTGCCATATGATAGGGGAGAGGTAGAACGGTGCAACAGTTTACACAAGCGGTCTCCCTAAATATGCTTCATCCGGGGTGGAACAGTGGTGTAGTGCTTAGCGCATTGAACTATGAACATGGCATCTTGAGTTTGATTCTCGCCGATGGCTAACATCAGTGGCGAGTGATATTCTTCATCATCCCACAATGACCAGTATGGTGAAGTATGGTCAAACAATGCCCCAACCTTAAAGCAGCATGGGGAATCCATCGAGCAGATTCATACATTTGCTGTACATGTACTGATGAATCTACCAGTAAGTAAATCTCCATTGCAAGGCTGGCCATCCAGTATTCATAGGCTAACTTATAACAATTGTGTTTGGACCATGGCAACAATACTCTTGTAATGGGCATACCTTAAGTCGGCAGATGTATTTGATATATATGTCTATTATTTCTTTGTCTGTTGGGAACAATGGGTAAAGAAAACTGATATGAAAGATAATCCAATATTCACAAAACTTAAGTATACAGTTATGTTGCTATTACAGACTCGCCTTTTAGAAAACCGGCAAAAAGAATCAAAGGGCCAGCCCAAAACCTACAACTACAAATCAGCACGTAAAGAACTATTCATAAATATGTAGAAGCAGTTTTCCGTGGCAGCCAGCCATCGACGACCGTACTGCTATTAAATACTTCAGTGGACAAAGAAATGCTGGGAAGGCGATACAGGAGCCATGAAATATGCACGGTTTTTCTTCCTTGTCGTTTTTATTTTTTTTTACCATCGATCGCGGCGAAGTTCCCCGAGTCGCTCCCGGGCGTCATGGTCCGGGGGTCGCCGTCGTCCGTGCTGCTGAAGCTGCCGTTGGTCTTCCCATTGGTCGCCTTCTCTCGCATGCCCACCGACCTTCCGCTGCCCACGCGGCTTCGGCTCCCGTTCCGGGAAAGGGGCGCTCTGGCTCGCCTCCGTGGGGTCATGACCATGACCGGTTGTTCTTCCGCCGATGGCTCCGGCTTCGTCTCGCTGGGCTTGGCAGCCGCCGTGTCCTCCTCGTCCGACACTTTATCGACCGACAGTCCCTTTTTGAGGCGTTGGTCTATAAAAAGGGAATAATCGGAACGATGATTAAAAATCATTACTCGAGTGTTCTGGCTGGCTGCTGGACGAGTTCGTCTCTGGCCCAACTTTAACTCTGTTGTCAGTCAGTTAAAACACGTAGGCTTTCGTGGCCAGTTTTTTTTTTTGGGTTAGATCACGTGAATATATCTATTGTTAGTGGCTGCTGTGAGCCGTTACCACCGAAACTAGCTGGGTGCCTGGCTAAACGGGATATTTTGTGTAACAAATGAGCATTGAATTGATATGGCGAAAAAAGAAGTACGGAAGACATATGTGTATTACTGCCGTGTCGATTCAGGGACGTCTCACCGCAGTCTCGAGACTGTTTTTGATGACGATCATGCCTTTTTTGTTTTGACAACCACTTAATAAGTGCTTTTGCATGTGGGATAAAACTAATGATCAGAGGAAATGCATGAATATGAGGGAGGGGGGGATATAAACACACAAGCACGTGACATTCAAACCAGACGACCTGGTTTCTGTACTGGCTGCGACAGGCCACCTCATAACTCTGCAGGTCGAGAGTCCGGTGAGCGCGACTCACTCGCCGTGCCCCCAGAGCAGCGGCGTGACGCCGTGTGCCGGCACTCCGGGCACTGCTCGGCGTCATTTTAACCCGACAATAACGCGATTAGTCAACGGTAATAATGCTCCATAAGAGGTGTTTTGGGTTAGATCGCGTAAATATATATAAATATATAAATGTGTCATATTCTTAGGTTTTTTCGGTAGAATATAAATGTGTCGTTAATACCCGCCACCACCCGACACAACCAACTAGTCAGGGTTGTCACGTAAACAGAACGTGGCCAATTCGTGACTAGTACAGCACTAACCGGTGTGTTGGAGCCAAGTCACAACATTTACAATCTGAGTACGAAGTTTCGCCAGGAATTACAACTAGCTTCATCAGGCGACAGCCTGATGAAGCTAGTTGATATTGGTCACGAAAGACTACGTGTTAATAATGCCGATGATACATTTGTAATTTGCACCGAGAACTTTCATTGGGTGCCACACCTATACTGTCCAGGAGTTACAAGCCTCTCCGAAACACGTGGTCGACTGAGATGTAAAAATAAACTTATATTAGATTCCTGGAATTGGAGGTTATGCTAATACTACCGGGACGTGAATACAAACAACCGGATTAAATGTAATGGCAGTTGAATAAATATAACAAGTTTTGACCAACTTGTACTTTTACACTACGATGCATTCATCATATCACATCGAGGCAGCAACTCGTGGTGTCTGGTAAGGTTCGTGCATCATGTGAGCAGGACTCTATTCTGCTGGTGTCATTCATAGAATCGTTGTATAGCTGCTGGTGTATGCATGAACCAAGCTCGAACCCACCACCATGCTCAACAAAGAACAGAAATAATGTATTTCTTGAAATTCATCACACTAATAATAATAAAACATCCTCAAGGAGTCTCAAGAATTTTCAAAAACAATCCCAGCATTGATGATTGGCATGTAGGAGAGCAACGGATAACCTGGAGAAAACCCGTGCATACGAGGGAGCGACTTTGTATGCGTGTAGATGTTTGTTCGCACCACACGTAGCCAATCGGAGGTGGGGGGGGGGCAACAATCCCATCTCTTGGCCACGTCAGAACTTAACACCTACACCACCTGGCAAGCTCTTTACCAATGAGACTCAACCCTGTCTAGCTTTGGAGATCCAGGTGCATTCAGGGGTCATTTAGCCATAGGCCATTAGTGTTATTATTATTATCCCCGCTCGAAATAAAATCATGGTCATTTTCAAAATGATTTTATATTTATGTATAATCAAATAATGAATTAGAAATTTATTATAGCGTTTCCCTCTTCACGTGCGTGGCTATTCTGCGGGTGCTTAGGTTTTCTCCCACGTGAATAGTCGTGATGTAGTATATTGAAATTAGGCAGGTTTAACGTTTGTTTATCTTTTGTAGGGATTTCAGCCACGGGGAACCAAGCTGAAATCCTATTCCTTACCGAAGGGGTACCACAGGTAATTCCAGTACCTACAGGGTACTAATCGAGTTTATCATTCTCCGGGTTCTCTAGTTTCCTCCCACATGTAAAACAATCCTTGAGTTATCCGATAACAGCCGAACACATAGAGGACCGCAGAGCTTGGCCAATTGTTGGCACCAGCTCAGAGCATTGGCCGCTGCCTTCCCGCGCGTCTGCGGTTCCTCGTCCTCGCACCTCCAGCTCGTCATCTCTCTCTCTCGCTCTCTACGAGAGCGAGTGAACGCTGTGCGGTGGTGGCGACGCGTTAAAAGTTGAACGTTACCAAAATAACCACCGAGTGGGCTCCCCCCCCCCCCCCACCCCACCTATGATGTCGAGCTGTTTCCAGCGCTCCTTGTTGTAGACAATGCACTCGCGCCACGCCGCTCCGAAGTACGCGATGTCGACGGACAGCACGGAGCCCGGGGCAGGGCTGGCTTTTCCGCCTCTCTGGCTCACCTCCATGCCCCCGACACTGCGCTCAGGAAATTACGAACGGGGGGGGGGGGGGGAAGAAAATAAAAACATCCATTGAGGGGGAAGGTGTGTAACGAATCACCCCCACCACGCGCTTTGTTGACAACTCTCAATTCAACGATGTGATTCGACTTAGAATTCGGTGTGTGTGGAATCTGTATTGGCTGCAGGATTTACGAGAATCTATCACATACAACATGAACGTTTAAATCAAATCGATTCTTACGCGCAGAATTCCATGCCTGTATTGTGGCCGTAAGAATCTACTTCAGTCGATGAATCGACGCGTCGTTAGGTGCCTATTTAGGACACACGGTTTGTTATGCACCAATTATAATCCAACTGCACCATCATTAGTGCTGCTTTGTCACTCCGGTTTGTAGATTCAATGAAGTTCGCCTTGGGTTTCCCAGCCTCAAGTGACTTACGCAGGTGGATTCATTGATAGTTGAAATGCAAATGCAGCATGTGGAGGTGATGATAATGATCCCAGTGCTGGGTTCCCACAAGACCAGTTCCCGCGGGACGCTGCATGGGCTGCATGCACCCCATATGGTGGAGACAGTGCTGATGATGAAGCCACTGCCAGGACATTTGAGTTTCTAAATAGGTCTCTCTGTGAGAATATGGGCTTCTGTGCAAGGCTATGGGGTCTTTTTGCGATTCTATCTCTGTGAGAAGGCAATGATGATGGTGATGATGAATTTGTTTCCAGCGAATTCCAATAACTCAGTGAATCCACCTGTAACTCTGTGAATCACCGGAAGCCAGAAAACCTGAACTGGAGATTGTGGCCTTGGGCAACCCAGAGCCACCAGCTAAGCACTTCGTGTGAAGGAGTGAACAGACATCTTTAATTTAATCTAGATTTGAAGCTTTCGTGACTGCAGGAATCCATACTCTTTGGTTCTTTCGGTAAAGTCACGTAGGTAGAAAATTAATCAATCACGACGTTTCGATCGCAACACAAGCGACCGTCTTCTTATTTAATTTATTCAGTTAACAGAGCATTACATCGCGTCCAGGGAATGGCTCCTGAAGACGACACCACATCATGAGTCGCGCAGTCACTTCAACAGGCCACCGTTATCCCCGCTCCATGGGCCCCAGTGCAGTTGCACAGCCTCCACGCTCGATAGCTACGCCACTGCCTACCCAACTCTGGAAGGTGCTTGTTCAATAATCGTAGTGACGGTTGTTGGACGGATGATAAATGATAGATGAACGGTAACGATTATAACGACGTTGGATGATGATAAATGATGGAACGACAATGACTATGGCAATGATAATGATCTCCTTCTTTCGTACGGCTGCTGATGTCGATGCAGAGCAACAACTGCGATTTAACATTCAGGTGGTCAAGCCAGATAACCGCGTCAGGAGCAGCGGAGTGTGTCGCTCTGATGTCTCCTTCGTATCTGTGGATTGGGCATTGTGTCGTTATATATTGTATGGTCTGTTCTGGATGACCACAGTCACACACTGGAGAGTTTTAAATCGTCCATTTGTGCATCAGATATCTGCATCTGCCATGGTTTGCATGGACGCGATTTAGGGTGGACCGTGAGCTTCGTTGAAAATCAAACCCAGGGATCATCTGCGTTGGGTCTTTCACAACAATATCGATGATGGATGATGATCGAAGATGCTGGCCGACGACGACTGCAACAGCGACAATGGCAGGGAGGAAGTCGGACATGCCGGCGATGTCCCCCCTCCCCTCGGGCTCTCACCTCGAGCGGCGCTTGGCGCTGGACGCGGCGCGCACGGCCTCCTTGACGAGCGGCGCCACGATGCCCTCCACCATGTCCGTGAGCACCGACAGCGTGGGCTCCACGATGAAGTCGATGAAGCCTGCGGCGCACGACGCCCCGCGCAGGGAAAACGACAGCGAGCTCACGACGGCCCCCCGGCCGCTTCAAGATAAATCGCCCCTCCCGAGCGCCGTGTCGGCGACTTCTACAAATGAACGGAGCCCCACGGCGAGAGTCGGTCATCCCACTGGGATTTTTGCACGCAGCGTTGGTGTGCGGTGTTTTTTGCTGCAATATTTTGCTGTCTTTTCGTGGATTTTCTGTTTGCACTCAGTTACATATTCACTTTAAGATGTTTTTTGTTCATGTTTTTGTTTTATGTTTGTTGCGGTTGCACCCGATTCAAGAGCCGAATGACTCACAGGGCTATACCTAATATATGAACTTGAACTTGACGTAATTACACACACGGGTGTCGGGTTACGTTATGGGACAGAGGACAGCGATTCAAAATGCACTGTGTACCTCTGTGCTCCCACATTATTGCACCTTTGCCCTCACTGACCCACACTAACCAGCACATCTCATTGATCTTAGAAGCTAAGCAGGTCTGAGCCTCGGTAGTGCTGGCATGGGTGTCCACAGTGTATGGAACAGGTGTTTCAGGCTGTGGGGTTAGATTGGAGGTAGACGAAAACAGTGTTAGCAAAATCCATTGTTGTACTGGACCATGCTGGAACGTCTATGCTCCCAGCATTCACCAACCTCAACCAACCAGCATGGTGAAGTACGGTCAAATAACCCCCATACTGTGTGCGAAAAACGGACTGTACACGTGCGTGTACAGTATATATTTGGGGTTTCCCTTTGAGAGTAAATATCTATAATTTTATAAAAACTGCAGCGGCTTATTTGTTGTACAAGTCAATGGTGCGACATGGAACGTGACACAGAATGTTCCACCACCATCCCAGCTCACGTGAAAAAGCCAGTTCATCTGGAGTACGTCTAATACCATTGCACTGCATTTCTCCCTTATTGGGAACAGTAGACACATTATTTTTTATCCGCATTACTGTCCAAATTGTTTGCCAGAATATGACCAAATAAAAAAAATACACTTGATAATTATGCTAATAGCTACACGAATCTTCAAAGTACAGGTTTCCCTCATTTGAACCAGGTTCGATTTGTGCAATTTCACGTATGTGTGGCTAAACTATTTCTACCCAATATTCGCTTTCTCGTGCACTATGAATTCACCCATATACAGTCGGATGTGGGACAACATTGTCTGTGTGTACTGTGTGCGTGTGTGTACTGTGTGTATGTACTGTGTGAGTGTGTGTACTGTCTGTATGTACTGTGTGCGTGTGTGTACTGTGTGTACTGTGTGTGTACTCTCTGTGTGTACTGTGTGCGCTCCCTGGCAGGCAGCTGCCTCCTCGTGTCGGTTCTGTCAGGTACGCCCCCTTTTTTTGGAACGCATCTACTACTACCGCATAAAGCGAGGGGAACCTGCATCTGAACAGGTGTGGCAGCTTGCGGCAGTTCTGGGAGGGCATCCACGCAGCACGGAATAGATCGTGGCTAATGACTTACGGGGGCTCAACGATAGTTATAACCAACCAATAAACAGCGCAGGCAACTCACCGACTTGAGACTGCGGTACCATGGTGGATTTGCGGTCACACAGCGGAGAGAAGGGCAGGCCCAGCTCCTCCTCGCGGTCTCCCTGCGTCAACATGAAGCGCAGCGAGGACAGAGACTCAACACGGCGTTCGATTTGTCAATTTTACAGTGGGGGGGGGGGGGGGGGATGAAATAAAATAACTTTCACCAAGTCGCATCGACCAGTGTGGTGAAGTATGGTCAAGCAACCCCCCCCCCCCCCCGTAAACGACACGGCACGAGGGCACATTCATCCAATAGCAGATTGAAAAATACCGTAACTGTAACGAACACGTAACAGGTGCTGTTGCCTGAATGTGTTGTATGTACTTTGAAATAATAATGATGATGCTATAATAATAATAAATAATAACGTGTTTAATCTTGGGAAGCCTCACCGAGTCTCAAGACTCTCGTTTTTTAATGAGGGCGCTGCTAAATGTGCATGCTTGTCCAGCTCCGATGATGAGAGTTTGGCTTCTCGTGAAAGGGAACTCGAGTACACGGAAAAGGAACCCACCACATGCCAAGAAGGGGGGGGGGGGCGCTCCCCAGCTCATAGCTCCACGCAGAGATTAGCGAAGACAACTGAAAGCGGAGTCCAGGGGACAAAGTAAATAATTATAGCCAGTAAATTCCCACCCCACCCCCCGCATATAAAATCGCCCCCTGGAATTACGCCACTCGTTACCAATCAATGGCCATGATTTATTTCACTACAGACGCCCCCCTTGTGTTTTCATCATTACCGCTCGTGCCACGCCGGTTGGGGCTGTCATCTTTGAATTAAACAAACAACAATCAAGATCACGCACAAAAGGTTTGAGCGCCTCAAAGTCGTGCATCCTGTTGGATGTGCATTTGGGACAACAGTGGCAAAACCACTGAAGCTTTTCAGAGACTTAAAACAGAGTAAAAGTAGTGCTGAAAAGACGAAGACATTTACTGCTCACCTGGTTAAGCAAATACACTTGTGTACCGATGGCAAACCTACTCGTGGCTGCGTGCACTTACCGGTTGTGTCAATCACAAAAACACCGTGACCACATTTGTCCATCAGCTTAGATAGATTATTGGGGCAAGTGATGTCGGCAAAGCCACGCGAATTCTGAAATAATACAACTCATATGAATGATATAATTTGGGTTTGCTATGCGTGCATCACGCACACATAGTCACCGTTGTATACCCATTGCTGCTGTTGGGCTGACGCTACCACGTACAGTACTCGTGTTAGGTTACGTAGACCCAGAGGGGCTACAAGTGGTGGGCAGCAGAAATCCGTGCGGCAAATACACTGTTGTATTGTATTCCTATGCTCCTGCATCTCCCCCCCACCACCACCCGCCTTCACCAACACACGCCGATCAGCATGGTGAAGTATGGTCAACTAACCCAAGACCCGCACGGCATGTGGAGGCCCTCGGCCAGCAGCGGATAGATAAAAGGCCTGTACATGCGCACATCTTAAGGCTAATGAATGCAATAAGGTACCATAAACTAGACAACAAAAGAGACAACAGGCATGAGGCAGTGCAAATGGAACAAAAACGAGCAGATTCTTGGATCGAACTGTGACCCTTAATCAGGACAAATGATGGGAGGAACGGCGTACGTGGTTGAGTGAATTGCTACAAGGCCAACACGTTACCTGCTGTAGATTATCTTCTGCTCATTGCTTATTGCCCATAGCTTACTGCAAACTACTTTCTGCGCATTGCCTGCCTGCTAACACTGCCTGTTTTATGTTCGTTGCCTACTGCTCGTTGCATCCGGTTGGGTAGGGGGGACGTCACCTGCTGGAAGAACTCCTCCAGGAGGGACTCGGTCCAGCGGCGGTGGAGCCGCCACTCCTTTGCCGGGTGGCTGATATCAGACGTGTGCACGATCAGGGACATCGCCTTGGGCTTGTCGATGACGCTGCAGAGAGGGGACGTGGTGGACGTGAGCAAAGTCCACACTTCGGTCGTAGGCAAGACGCCGATGCGGTGCCAACAACGATGTGGTTATTGAGTGTACTTGGGCATAGTTTTGTGAATCAATTGGGACTGTCACTTAGATTTTAGAAAACACGTGTGTCCCCTCTTTCTGGGCAAGAGAGAAATGTTCTTAAAATACCACGGTGTTGAGCGCACGCAGACAAGCTGACTTTCTCTTTATACACGCTGGTATGCAGATGGTGCATTCAGTTTCATGTCGGTGTCAAAGCACCGACTTGTTTTGCTAAAATAAAAATCTGTTTATAAAACTAGACATAGCAATAATTGCCTTCAAAATGACACCCGATAGGAAGTATTAAAAAAAAATTACCGCGAGGTCATTTAATTTGCAGAACTGCCCGCTAACGGTCGCACATAGGACAGGCGACGGATCAGGGGCCGTGTACGGGGCTGAAACCTGTCTGGCTGCTGCAGCGTAGTCTTCATGGCCTTGATCTGCTGGAAGTGGCAGGACATGTCAGTTGCCAGAACCATCTCCACCACCAGAGCCCGCAGCTCCCTACTCACCACGGACGGGAGGTGGAGCGGGGAGGTAGTAGGGGAGAGGGATCATGAAACAGGGAGGCAAAGGGGTTAAACTCGAAGAGGAATGCAGTTGTCAGATCCCCCGTGGCCTCGTGGAATTGTTCAATTTTACATTCTTCTTCTGTTGATTTGCTTTATTGGTTGTGGATGGTGGCAGTGCACAACCGAAATCCAACAGCTTTTCAGATGTGATCTACCATCAGTCTGCGTTACCTAGCCCGGTGACACTCACTGTCTCTGCCTTTATACATAAAAAAAAATAAGCATTTAAAACAAAAATGGGGACCAAAATAAAGTACTGGACGAGACAGAGACAAGCGAATATCCAGTGGAAGAGACTGATAGGAAAGAGTGACTGATTACAGATACAGAGAAAAACAGAAGGGAAAGGGATTGATGAAGCAAACAAAGATGTAACGAGGGTGGTTAAGGCTACGGTGAGGTGACGGTGGCGACGTGGAGGGCACCGGTAAGTGTGAGCGAAGAGCTCGTAAAACCACGTGGCGTATATCATCGGGGGTTAACAACCCACGCAGGCGATTGCTGCCAGAATTACGGATCAAGTGTTCCATTAGAGGGCATTCACAGAAAACAGCGTCGACGATCCCCATACAATGGCGGCACCAAACGCTGCGCATTGCTGCCTTGTCAGCTGACAGCACGGGCGCATTCGTCGGCCAGCGTGCAGAAAGCAATGTCCGTCGTCGAGATGAGCTCATTTCAGCGCAGATGGGAGGCTGTGAACACCCCGCGTCAACAGCCTGCGCAAACAACCAGGCGCTACACCCGGCGAGCTCGCACAGCGTACACGCGCATAGCGGTCTACCCCTTGTCAGTGCCTAGGGGCCATCCATTTAGTAGGTACGCAAAAATATGTCAAAACTTGACCCCTCCCCCTCCTACCTGTACGCACCTGCGTGCGTATGCCTGACGCACCCCCCCCCCCCCCGAATCCTATAGAACGGCCGATATTTAATCCACGCAGAAACGATGAAGGATTAATAATATTAACGTGTTTAAGCAAACAGAAAGTCCACCGCGGGACTAACTAATTTGAAGACCAATGTAGACAAATTATTATCGAGGCTTCACCCCCCCTCCCCGTTTCCTATGCGTACGCACATTGTCAGTAGACCCCCCCCCCATACGCAAGCGGTACGCATTTGGGTTAACCCCCTTCCTCCCCCCTCCATGCGTACGTACTAAATGGATGGCCCCCTACCGTATTACAGACCAATTCAGAACTTATTGGTCACCCTTACGCATCTCAACGTTCACTCTACAAAGTCCCATCACAAGGGAGAAATAAAAACAAAGAGACAAAAAAACAGCGCCCGTATTGAAACGGCTGTGTGTCGTATGGACCTGAAATCTCAATCTCCCTGTACAAGAATACGGGTGGACCGTATTTGTGTTGACAGCTACGCAAAGCGTTGTGCAGGATTTGCGCACAGCTAATAAGGGGGTTGGGTAAAGTCACGTAGGTAAAAAATGAAATTAAAATTAATAAAACTAAAACGTTTCGGAGGCAACACAAGTCTCCGTCATCAGGTGGGACCGTCACAGCCAGATTTGCTGCATCAAGTGATTTTATTGTTTTATTTTAATTTCATTTTTTTACCTACGTGAATTTACCGAAAGAACTAAGAGTAAGGGGGATGGGATCCACGCCGCACCACTGCCGACATTCCTCAAACCTCCAGCATCAGAAGAGCTCACAGGATCAGACATGTTCCTCTCTTGTTTAGACTCCGGTAGTTACACATCGGGTTGGAGTGGTGGTGCAGTGGTCAGAGTGGTGGTGGTGTAGTGGTGAGAGTGGTGGTGGTGCAGGTGATGGTGATGCAGTGGTGGTGGTGGTGATGTAGTGGTGGGAGTGGTGGTGATGTAATGGTGGGAGTGGTGGTGATGCAGTGGTGAGAGTGGTGATGATGCAGTGGTGAGGGTGGTGGTGATGTAGTGGTGAGGGTGGTGGTGGTGCAGTGGTGAGGGTGGTGGTGATGTGGTTCGCGTGGTGGTAATGCAGTGGTCAGAGCACTGCGCTCTAAAACTGATGTATGAACCAGTCCAGGGCCCCACGCTCTCTTGAGAAACGCGCACTTATTGGCATGGTCAAGTATCGTAAATTAACCCCCACGAGCGGCGCGGTGTGCTCTGTACGATTCTGTTTGTTTAATTTAAATAAAAATGTCATAATAATATTAACTTGTAACGCACCGCAAAAAGGGACCTTTTTGCCAGTATCAAAGTATGAAAAAAAAATTAATTAGAGGTTTTTATCCTTTCTGGCAATAAAACAGGAGGTGTTAAGATGTTCAGACACCAAATAAAAACCTTTTGCAAGGAATCAAGTCTGCATGAACCACACGTACTTGTGGCAAAACATGCAAACAAACATGCTCTGATAACATATGCATTAATCTAGATCTTACGTTTTCGTAATTGCAGTGATCCATACTCTTTGGTTCTTTCGGTGAAATCACGTAGGTATAACATTTTCATTTTATACCTACGTGATTTTTATTTATTTTATTTTCTACCTACGTGACTTTACCGAAAGAACCAAAGAGTATGGATCACTGCAGTCACGAAAACTTAAGATATTGATTGAACCACCTCTACGGGGAGGGCTTCTTGCTGTGGCTTTCCCACTTGATGACGGAAACTTGTGTTGCTTCCGAAACGTCGTGATTTGATTTATTAATTATTTTTTATATATATCGTTACATTTATTTTATAACATATGCATTGTCTTTGAAACTGATTGGTCTACACCAGCGACAGCTTTCTTTAGGGCCTGGTCTCACCTGGGTCAGACCAGAGAACACCACACAGTGTTCGCTCACTCTCGTGGAGATAAATAACGACTTGGACGTGCGAGAAGGAAACACAGACGAGTGGGAAGGCAGCCAGGCAGTGAGCCAGCGCCAACAATTGCCCAAGCTCTGTGATCCTGTATATGTGCATGTGTTATCAGCTAATTAATTATTGTTTTACCTGTGGCAGGAACTTGACGAGTACCCTGTGGACATTGGAATATATCGTGTCACCCCTTCATGAGAGAAGATGATTTCAGCTTGTTGCCGCGTGGCATGAAAATCCCTACGAATTTTAAAAAAAGTCAAACCTGCCTCATTTCAATCTACTGTATTGCCATAATTCACGGCGAAAAACAAACACAGCTGTAGATTCACGCACACTGCCTCCCTTCTCATAGGGTGTCCGATACGCCCTGTGCGAACCTCGGCGCGGTTTAATCCCTGCACGATTCCATCTCACGCAAATGTTCCGCAGGGCTGCAGTGCCTGGTGAACCCGGGTGGAGGCAGCACTCGATTTGTATATATCGCAGCGACGAGGGGGCAGCAATCACAAGTGCTGTGCGCCCGACTCGACGATGCAAGAGATCACCACGTTCGTAAAGGATTTGGCAGGCGTGGTGCCGTCCTCAGGGCCTGTATTAGAGGGGGTTTAGGTCTCTCAAGGGGATGCGGGTGATGGGGCTCCCAGCCACTATACCGTCAATGTACACACATACCACAGACTATATATTAAAAACAAGTGCTATTTATGTGCTACGAAGAAGCGCCATTGCCCGAAATGTCACCTGAGATTTATTTTGTTCCTCCCAAGGCAATGTGTTTTTTTTAAAAACATCGTGTGGATTTGTTTTAAAACGAGGCCCTGTATAGATGTTTTTTTGAGGCAGCTGGGGCAAGTGCTGTTAGCGAGCACCTATTAAGGGGGTGGAGTTGACCATGAACACGTCCGGACTGCCTTTGTATCCCCATTGCTCATGTTTACACAGTGCGGCAAGTGCAGTGCTCATTTACGACTGAGTCGACCTAGGGGGAGGCCACGAACAGGTTTCAGATGCCACTTAGCCACTTAGTCAGCCATGGCGTCAGGAATCAAACTCACGTATTTGGACGAGCCATTGATATAAATGTTAAAATGTGGTTTTTTTTTGCGGAGGGATAGATATATAAAGGAAACATCTGCTTATTGATGATCGATTATCGATTATGTCGTTGAGTTCGTTGTACTTTGTGAAAACCACCACGCCACCATTCCCCATGCTACAAAGACAACGATACCCCCCCCCCCCCCCGTGTATAGCCTTAACAGGCTCTAGGGGCAAGTGCTGTTAGCGAGTAGCACGGCACACGAGGGGGTTAGTGGCCAGCACCAAGCCCGACCGCCTTTGTCTCCCCAGCAGCAATGCTTACACACCGCACTAGTCACTCATTTGAGGCTGAGTCGACCTAGGGGAGGCCCAAACCCGGCTCAAACAATCGTCTCTGCTGTTTGCCATGAGCGGGAATCGAACTCGTGTCGCTCGCTAACCGCTGCGCCACCGCTCCCCTCCCCCCATAACACACACAAACACAGTCACATATGCGCATACTATAAACACCCGCGCAAACAGCAAAATACACACACACACAGTCACCGACAGTATATCCGTCTCGTGTACTTAGTCGACGATGTGCAAATACTGGAGTCTAAACAGCTCCATAAATTAAACATTGTTAAAACGGCGAGCACGCCGGGTGACGAATCCTCCCCTGCCGCCGTTCGCCACCGGCTGCCGCTGTCGCTGCCGATGAGCGCTCCCCTCGCCCCCTCCTCCCCTCCCCCTCGAGCCCCCCACCCCCTCCCCATAACCCCCCCTCCTCCCCCCACATATACCTCCTCCCGACCCCCCCCCCCTCGAGCCCCCCGCCCCCTCCCTCTAACCCCCCCTCCTCCCCCGACACATACCTCCTCCAGACCCCCCCGACCCCGACACCCCCCTCCCCCCGATCCTCCCTCCCCCCGACCCCCCCTCCCCCCGCCCCCCCCTCCACCGACCCCCCCTCCCCCGACACCCCCTCCCCCCCCCCCTCCACCGATCCCCCCTCCGACACCCCCCTCCCCCCGATCCTCCCCCCCCCCCCCTCCACCGACCCCCCCCCTCCACCGACACCCCCCTCCCCCCGATCCTCTCTTCCCCCGACCCCCCTCTCCCCCCTCCCCCCAGGGGAGTGGGGGCTGCCCCCCCCCCCGCCTGCTGGCGCTGTATGTGCTGGTCCCACGGCTGCGTGGCTCCCCCAGCCAACCCCCCTCCGACCCGGAGGCCAATTTCAGTGTTCACCTTTCACATGCGGCGCCTGCCCCCCCCCCACGCCCCCCCCCCACGCCCCCCCCCACGCCCCCCGCCGCCCCAACACCACAACCACGACGACGTCCCCTGCGACACTCCAGCGGGCGAGCAGGCGATGGGTGTCGCGCAAATGATCAATCGCGGCGATGATCGGCGCTCCGACGAGATGAAGTTCAAATGATCCGCAAGGAGTGGGGTCGGAGATTTCCATAATGAAACAGTTGCAATTAAAACAAAAATCAATGGAAAATGTTATATTAATCGTCGTTGGAAATCTAATTGTTTATAAGTGCAATTAAAAATAGGCATTAAGACGTAACTCGCTAGATTATCTGCTCATTAATTGCTTTCTTAATTGGGTTAGAAATATCCTGCAATCTCTGTCGATGAGGACCCGTGGGTCATACGACTGGACATCTGTGAAAAAAAAGCTTCAGAGCTCATCGGAGTCCTCCCAGTCTACAAACAAAGATTCTGATTCTGGCTGGGGATAATTCAACCCCAAGAAACTGCCAGCTGTAATAGCCGTTCGATAGAGGAACAATTGGATAAGCTAAACTCGAGGACTTGATGGAGGTGACGGTGATGATGAACGTCGTGTTGTGCAGCGCACAATGACGGGCACTCAACGACGACACTATTTTGAAGAAAAAACGAAGAGGCAGGCAGACCTCGTTGAACAAAGGGTCTTATATGTACGTTTAACTTCTTTAGCACCGTACGTAGCTAACCGTGCTAATTGGAGGTGCATATAGCTCCAGTGGTTTCCTACTATCGAAACAAATGTAACCAGGAGGACAGATACTACAATGCTCTATAAAGCCCAAAATCATAAAAACGGCAAACACACTTAGCAACGAGCAGGTCGGACTCTATTTCAACTCTAGGCAGTAGTTACATATACGAATTTCATATGTTTCTATGTACTCTATGGGTGTAGATATGGCTTTATTTGCGCACAATGTCTGCTCTCTATACCGTTGAGACCTGCATCGTGATTGCAATCGCGCACAGAAAACACTTAAGCGTGAGTCTAAGTGTCTTCACCACTCCGTAGATGGGGGGGGGGGGGGGGGGGCGGCATTGTCTACAAGTCTACGAAGGGACCAGCCCGCGGGCCTCGTCATTTAGCCCGCAACATCTGTCCCTGCGTCTGTCCGATCGCCCACAGTGGCACAGCACGAAACGACTAAGACGTGCACAGCAGCAGCAGCAACACCAGCAGCAGCGGCAGCAGCAACAGCTATGTTCTCCTCGTACTCCCCCTGTAGGTCGACAGTTTGGCAGGGGATAATCTCAAGCTGGTTTTAGCACGAGGGGGAGGGAGAAAAACAACATTTCATCTCCCGGGCCAGCACGGCCTCACACACAGGCAATCGTAAAAATGATGCGCGTTAGATGATCATTTTCTGAACTAGGGCACTGCCCCAATTGCGTGGTCATTTTCACCAACTGGGGCACGATTTCTTTTTTGCAAATTGGACAATAGCTCTCCCACCATCCTCTAAATATAGAATAAATGACGACGACGACGATGATGATGATAGCTTAGGCTTGAAGACACTGATGGTGGTGGTGGTGGTTATGTTGGTGGTGATGGCGGTGGTGGTGTTGGTGATGGTAAAGATGAAGGCAGATGTAGACTCTACCTCCAGTCATCCTTGCTGAGGTTGATGAGGATGTTGGCGTCCTCATCGGCCTGCATGATGCGGTACGCGGTGCTCACGTGGTGATTCTCCATCACCGAGCGGTCGTTGTACAGGATGGCCACTTCGGACCTGGTGAGGGGTGGGGGTGAGGAGCGGGAGTGGGGGGTCAAGGTAAGGGGTGAGGGTCAGAGACGGGGGTGAGAGTGAGAGACGGGGGTGAAAGTGAGGGGTGGGGTTAGGGGGCAGGGGTGAGGGTTAGTGGTGTGGGTGAGGATCGTGGTGAAAGTAAGGGGTGCTGGTAATGGTGAGGGGGTGGGGGAGGGTCGAGGATGAGAGTGAGGGTTAGGGGTCAGGGCAAGGCGTGAAGGTGAGGGTAATGAAATAATTTACTGCCATTGTCAATCCACTGTTGAAGGAAGGCCTCCCCACACAATGTTGGTCATGGAGGGTGGTTTGACCATACTTCACCACTATGGTCGGTGCGCGTTGGTGAAGGGGGGGGGGAAATGGGGCACCATGCTGGGAATCAAACTCAGGACGCTGGGTTCATGGCACGGTGCATGAACAACAGTGCGACTGGTCCACTCCTGAACTACGAGCCGCAAGTAATTGCGACTACAATGGCAAGTGCCCTCATGGACGCGCCAGTACTCCGACCATCGCGCGAGCGCGTGCGTGGAGGAGACGCGGGCGCGTGCGCACCGGGTCTGGATGTGGAAGTTGTTTGTGGTCCCCGTGTGCTCCAGGTCATGAATGGCTGCCGCAAACAGCATGGCGAAGATCTCCAACTCGTTCAGCCAGTGCTGGCAACGAGAGTCGAAAAGCTACATCATCATCGTCGTCATCATCGTCGTCATCATCGTGCATTAAGCAGTCCCCCTCCTTAAGCTCCCTCCGTTCCTCTCTTAAAGGTCACCTCCTTTCAATATTGCCCATTCTCTTCCCCTTCCCTCCCCTTGCCCCTCCACTACTTCCCATCCCTCCCCTACCCTGTTGTGATTCGCAAGTACCCCTTTATCGCTGTCACTCATTCCTCAATCCTTGTAGCAATGTCCCTTCCCTCTATATCATTTCATTCTGTTAGAGTTTTGTCAGTCATGTCAAGCGCCTTGAATGAAGGCGCTGTATATAAAATATATATTAGATTAAATAAATTAGTATCTTCATGATCATTGTAACACAGCCATTTTAAAAAAAGTGTATGTGTATTTAACTGATCATTTAAAGGATCATTTACATTATCGTTATCATTAGCATGATCGTATCCAGTAATATCTGTATCATGCTATGTTTTCTGGTGATTCTATCTAAATCACCGTTAGCATGATTGTTACACACTCTTAGTGCCGTCTCTAAGCTTATATTGCTTTCATTCTTGAATGAAGTTGCCTTCAAAGAATGTAATGAAGCTCTAACGCTCACAATAACTTACATTTTGCATCGGGTGGCTGAAAGTGTCATGCATTAATTAACGTTTTAATAGACGCAACAAAACCATTTTTTTTCACCTACTAAACGACTGCTATTGAGCCAGTGTTTCGCAGGAAGTTCTGTCGTCGTGGAAGCAGCGTTACCATGAAGCCGGTTTTGAGCAGGAGGAAGTGCACCGTCTGCGTGACGTCGGCGGCATGCATGAGGTTGTGGTAGGGGTTCTTGTATTTGCTGTATCCCGCCTCGAGCGCATCCGCAAACGACACCAGCGAGGAGATGGGAATCTGCCCGAGCGGACAGCGGGAGCGCATTTAATCATTGAGTGCGTGTACCTTATGGGTCACCCTCATCCCCCCCGACACCCAAAAGTCGCCAACACATCTGGAAGGCTTAACCAGGGACACGCACGTGGGTTGGCTAGGCAGTCCCCTCCCTTCTGTCGGAAACTCACGCATTTTTAAAAGCCACGCCCACTCAATTATCCACGAGCTCTGCCCACTTAGTGAGCGGCCTCCTCCCGATCCTCGCTTTTTTCAGATGTTGGGCCCAACTGCTTTTCCTAAGCCCCCCACCCACTCTTCAGGTAGGCGAACCCTTCTTGCTGACCCACCCATACTGGACCATCTGTGAAAGAGAGATTCATAGCCCATCGGATTCCTCCAGTATAAAAAAGATGCTGATTCTGAAACTAGGATTGTCCCGGCCAGACTAGGGCGTTGGGTAGTTTTACTCTCACACCTGTCCATACCGCTCATCGTACCCAATAGAAAATTTACAGAAATTCAACGGAAATCCATAGAACTCTCATGCCGAGGACTAAAATGAGTCCCTGGGCTTACAAAAGGGAAGCTGCAGAGGTAGTTTGTTGCCGTGTGGTTTTTGAGGTCACGGTGGCATGACGGTGTGAAGGCTTTACGGTGAAGTGGCATTGTGGCCGTGGGACTATTCCCCCTCCTTATCATAGCACCTTGAACCTTGCGATGAGGTCGTATCGGGTGAGCGTCTCGTACAAGGTGAACTTGAGGGCATGTTCCCCGCTCGCCTCGTTCAGGGCAAAAATGTCAAACGACCACTTGTCCACGTCCTGAAAAGAGAGCGTTCGCGAAAACTAAAATCAAACTTTTTTTCCGTACACAGCAGCAGTTTTTGCAAAAGAATAAAACAACAACAAAAACTAAATTCAACACTGCCATCAATCGTACAATCTTATACAGGAGAATTATATTCGGTGAAACTCCTCCTCGCATCTGCCCTCCTTTTATCCTCTCTGTCTGTGATTCACGCCTTTCAGGTTCATTTAAGTTTCATTCACTAGATATAGCCCTGTGAGCCATGCGGCTCTTGACTCGGGTGCAACGTGTACATTTGAATCAACACGCGGACATTATTGTTACCCATGTGTCCATGATTGCTACTATCTGCGCACAAGATCGTTAGCCCATAATTGGTGACAAAATGTATCCGATTATCCACTTTGTGTGGATAGAAGCAACAGCCTGCGAGTTGCGGCACATTCATCCGATTATCCACACTTATCTTGAGCTTTGTCCCAATTCGGTTTGACCTGTAGTGGTTACCTGGAAGTACATCATTCATCCTCGTATCAGGAATTAATTAGCGAGTCAGAGTAACTCAGCAGTGGTGGGGGGAGGGGGCAAAGTCACCCGATTATCCGCATTTATCTATGCACATTTTCACGCGGATTTAAGGAGTAAAACAACTGTGAATAGTGGATAAGAGTCCATATAATCAGCGCAGATACGAGTCGTTTCACCGTAACAAATTAACATTCTGTTCAATAGTCCTTCAGAGCGATTACACCCTGATTGTTCTCGGTCAACATCGACGTATGGAACCGTGCTGTCGGCTCGTAACGGCTGGGCTTACCTTCAGCACTGAGATGACGCCCGGTGGATAACTCAGCCCCGTCATGCTGGAGGAGCGGCGGTACATCCTGAAAATGCAGCAGCAGCAGCACCGGCAGCGTGGCTCTACCATCTTACATTGACATGCTAATCTCTCACAATGCAATGGCCACCTCCGCAGCTTCGTCGTCGTTACATGCAAATTTCATCACTAGCCCCGCCCACTTCGCTTATGACCGTTGGGCTACACTCATCTCAAACCTTTATAACCTCCTGCCTCAGCAGCTCTCCTGCTATTTTTTCACCTGATGACGATTGCTTGTGTTGCGATCGAAACGTTGTGATTTGTTTTCTATCTACGTGGCTTTACCGAAAGACCCAAAGAATATGGGATGATACAACAAAGCAATTGTCACCCCCCCCGCCTCCCTCACCACTACTGGCAGCAGACCAATGCCGTTTAGCAGGCCTGTCACCTCGTGCTGCAACTGGGACAACTTGCAGTAGACAACGTTGCCCTTTTAAAAATGTGTTGAGATGCGACGAAAAACACTTCGCTCCGCCCTGGCAAAATAAGCATGGCGCTCTGTCAACAGAAAATCCTTGTCGTTGATAGAGTACTGGCAGTTTGTGGATTTCGGTGCAGGAATGGGAAGAAAATTGCGTGCCCTTATCTGTACGTATCTTGAAACTATGAAGCTACATTTTTCTGATACCAAGACAACCTTTGGTCAACAACATCTTGCCCTGCTGGCCCCACCGCTGAATAGTTTTACCTTAGAAGAACAAGATGAGAACAAACTATTGTTAAAGAATTAACAAAAGGACCCAAACGATAAATTGTGATCAGCGGCCGGACATCCTTACAAACGGGCGAGCGAATGGGATGATCCCCGCACTCCGTTTGAATTCAACTCCTGACAAATCGACCGCGACCTGCCACGGTGCAATCGGCGCGGTTCACGGGGTCGTGCCACGCGTCCGTTAAAACGGGCCCAAGCCCAAATCAGGCCGGGGCGCCGTTGTGTCGTGCACCAGGGATCAAAAAAGGTCACGCGGGGACAAAGGGGACCCCTGCCTGATGACCCAGAGATTGAATGGCGCCGAGCATATGGTTCGACCGTTGGCTTCCCCAGAGCAATGAACGACTTGAATCAACACAACTGGCTCCCTGCTGCGGTTATTTATCTCTCAGCGGTTTCTGGGTGGGGCGCAGTGGCGTAGCGGTTCGTCAAAATGGGCCCTGGGTGGCAAGGAATAAAGGGGGGCATACCCCCATGTCCAATTTCACCCCCCCCCCCCGCCGTCTTTGTGGCCCCCACGGTGCAGTTGCACTGCCTGCACACTCGATAGCTACGCCACTGGCTCGGGTGCATCAATTTTTGTCCGAGTCGGAAACCAAATGTGGAACCCGTAGGAGGTAGAAGAGGATGTTTAAAAATTCTATATATTATTAATACAAATAAATAATAATAATAAGAGTGAGCAGCGTACAGAGCGCCGGGTTGATGCCGCAGTGAGCGGTTTGCGCGCTCACCCCCCGGGGGGTCAGGAGGTCACGGTTCACAAGCAGCGTGACTCCTGGCTGCTCTGGTCACACGAGGAGGGCTCTAAACACAAAGGCTGCCAAAAAACGATGCTTGGGCGGGCATTCGGGTATGTGGGCGCAGGTGTGTGTCTCTGTGTCTGCTCGTGCGTTGCATGTGTGCCACCATCTTGTGTACGGTGTCTCACGTGTGCAATCTGTGTCTCGCGTGTGTTTGTGCGCGGAGAGCAGCGGGCCCGATGAGTGCCAATCCAATTACCTAGTTGCGGTTTCCGGTCATGGCTAAATTCATCGGCAATGTACGTATGTCTGTAGAACTTCTTTCGCACCGTACGTAGCCAACTGTGCTAATCGGGGGAAGGACATCAAACTAAGCACAAAACGCAGTTTGTTGTCCTTCCCCTGTAAGCAGCATCTAAACCTGCCCCAGGCTTTCAATCGGTCGATTCAGCCTTAAAACGAGTACCTGGCTCTCACGAAAAGCTACTTGCGTTGCGTTTAAGACGGTTGCTCTCCATCCATGTAAAGTGTGTTTCAACCAGGCTCGGTAGCGCATACACTCCTGTGATTCGCAACTTTAGGAGGCATAGGTTGTGGATCGCGTAAACTTGCGAGACGCTCATACCTTCATGGGCTGCGATATGGCCAGAATATGGCAGTACAGTGTGTGAATTTGTGACCCCATCTGCGGGAACCTTCGAACGCTATCCCCTGGCATGTGCGGCGGCTTTTCTCCACCGTTCGTGCCACTTCACTTTCCTCTCTCGCGTGAACAATCCTTTACAATGAATGGTCCAAGCATCGCAATGCAGAAACCTTGTGATAGAGAGAGTCTTGCGAGCGGAGGCGGTACGGCATGGAGAAGGGGGGAGCAGGAGGGTATGGCAGGAGGGTATGGCACCTCTCGACAAAGATGCCGGCTTGTACGGCGTGAACAATGCTGCGGAAGCTGGGCTTGTCCTCCGGCTTTCGGTTCACCAGCCCCATGTGGCTCGTGAAGGTGGAGGCCAGCCAGTCGCGCACTTGCGACGGCACCGCCTCCGTGCCCAGGTCTCCCAGCTCATCCTCAGGGTCCAGGAGACGCCTTGCGTGTCCACAGGGAAAGAGAGAGAGAGAGCGAGTGTGAGTGTGCAGGTACAACACAAAGAGACAGCAAGCACAAGCACACCAGCTGCCATTCCACACTAAGTGACGATGATGTCACCGCAGCGATTGTGCAAGGCTACAAGGCGAGGTGCACTCTTGCTCTTCTGCCTAAACTAAACTGTTTTAATTTTATTTTACCAAGTAAGGCCCAGTCAACTTTTCAGCTCCTTGTCAGAAGCGACCTGGCAACAAATGATAACACGACAAAGTAGCAAATCCTCTCAAACGCATGATTCTAAATCTGGAGGAAAAAAACTGGAGGACCCGGAGAAAAATCCACACGACCACGGTGAGAACATACAAGCTCCAAATATACAGGCGTCAGGGTCTGCATCGAACCCAAGGCCAATCAGTTTCAAATGCAATGCATATATTATCAGAGCATGTTTGTTTGCATATTTTTCCACAAGTACGTGTGGTTAATGCAGACTTGATACCTTGCAAAAGGTTTCTATTTAGTGTGTGAACATTTTAACACCTGTTTTATTGCCAGAAATAGTCAAGCCTATTCTTATATTTTTCATCATTTTGATACTGCCAAAAAGGACCAATAGACACCAAGACCTCCTGCATACCAGGCGAGGTAGTTAACATCTCACTACCCAGACGCCCACATTGAGCCCACACTCCCCCCCCCCCCCACCTGTTGTCCTCCATATAGACGGCTTCGAGCACGGACGCGGCGTAATCCAGGTTCTTCTTGAGGTCGGCGACGGGAAGTTCCCCTCGCTCCAGCTGCTTGAGGAGGCATCGCAGTCTGGGCAACGTGTCGGGAGGAGATCAGCGGCATCGCAGGGTCGGGCACAACAACAACAACAATGGTAAATAAAAACGCGAAAAAATTATATAAAGGCCCATTTCACCTCGTGGGCTAATTGGGTTCCTGGTAACTTTCCAAAACATAATGGGGCCATTATGATTTTTTTACAGTGCCATGTGTGGGCTTATGCAACGGTACAAAATGCATTAATTTTTTATCGCAGCATATGAAAAGGAACGAGTGTGACATTGGCGAGTCACCTTCAAATAAAACGCACGTTATTTTTTTTTGGAAAGCCCCATTGAGTGGCATGGCTCTTTCTTAAAAAAAAAGTATTTTTTAAAATTATTTTATTATTATTACTTTTTCGTCGGAGGACAAAGCAACTTGAATATATCCGAGGAAGCATCGACCACTGTTTACACAAAGACCTGCTCGACCCTCCACAAACTCGTCTGAAATCCCGGAAAACAATCCGAGCACTGTTCTCAATGTGTGAGTGGATGCGCATGGCTGGAATACAGACATCCAGATGTGTAAGGACTCAAGCAGCCTAGGCATACAGATGCCCAAATATACAGATGCCCATATGCCCAGACACTCAGATGCCCAGGCACAGCTATGTCTAGATGTCCAGGTACCCAGATGCCCAGGTGCTCAGGCACTCAGATGTTGGAGTATCCAGGCATCCATGTGCTAAGGCAGGGGTCCCCAACCCCCGGGCCACGGACCAGTACCGGTCCGTGGCCTGTTAGGAACCGGGCCGCACAGCAGCAGGAGGTGAGAGCGGTGAGTCCGTGCGTGGCCCGCCACCATTATTTTATTGACCACTTCCGTCTGCGCCTCTTTCCCGCACTGCACACTTGTCTCAGTCACAGTTTTGGTAAGCCCACAAGCTGCTAACCCCTAGTAGCCACAATGAGTAAAAAACAAACGTTGCCGGAGAGCTTCTTTGAAAAGGGGGAAAGACCCAATGATGAACGCCCCCCTCCCCGGTCCGTGAAAAAATGGTCTTCCACGAAACCGGTCCCTGGTGCCAAACAGCTTGGGGACCGCTGTGCTAAGGTACCCAGGATGTTCATTCACTCAGATGTTCAGATGCCTAAGCACCCAGTCGTCTTAACGTGCAGATGCTCAGACAACCAGACATCCAGGTACACAGACACTCAGATGCTCAGGTGCCCAGCTGGGGGTGAGCAGAGGTGGTGACGAGCTTCACCTGACGGCCGCTCTCTCCAGAGCTTCGGGGCTGTCGCAGGGTGGCGGCTCCTCAGCCAGGACCTGCGCCGGGTCTCGGTCATCCGCCCGGCCACCCCCGTGGCCCCGGTCACCCCCCGCTGGGCCCCACTCCCCTCCCCCGGGCACCAGCAGGTGCTGCTGCTGCTGCGTTGCTCCCTTCTCCTGCTGGGCGCTCGGCCCCCTGATGGAGCTGTGTGATTGAGTCCCTGCAACACGGGGTTGGGAGGGGGAAACATCGCGTGTGGATTCATCACCCGTTCTGTGGGCAAATTTTAAATCAGGAGGCACACGACTGTTGAGTTATCACAGGATGTTTGTCCATCTTTCCGCATTTGACTCGAGAACCAAAAGCAGTTGTACAATGTGTGACACACCAATTGCGAACAAAACGGTTCCCCCCTCTCCAAAAAATGTAAGTTCCTTTTTGAGAGGGCAAGGCCTGGCCTGGGGAGAGTGGGTACACACGTGTGAAGGAGCGATTGGTTAATTGGCAATCGCCCGCAAGTGACCCCCTGTTGATGGTCGGCTACATCCCCTTTCATTCGCCTCTCTCGACGGTCGCCTCGTCCCTGCGTTCACGGCCACGTCGGCGAGACGGCGCCAAAAAAAGGCAACCGGCTGATGCCGATTCAACAAATGACACGAGGGAAAGTGTGGACTCGGGTGTCGGATGGACACTGCAAGACCCTCGCTGAACTGCTTTGGCTCCCCGTTGCCAAAGGATTGTATTACAAAGGTTGCACTCGTTACATACACACGAAGTGCTTGCCACAAATTAACCATCTTCTTGGTTCTTTCGGTAAAGTCACGTAGAATGGAAATAATAAAATAATAAAAATAAAACGTAATAAAATAATTCTCACGACGTTTCGGCCACAACGCAAGCAGCTGTCCTCAGGTGAAGAACATAATTACTTTATTATGTTTTATTTTATTTATTTTATTATTTCCATTCTATGTGACTTTACCGAAAGAACCAAGAAGATGAATCCCTGCAGTCACGAAAGCTTTAAATCGGAACACAAATTAACCAGTATACCTTGCTGATCTCGTCAAGGAACATAAACCATCACCCAAACTCCAGTCATCCTTGCAGTCGCAGCTTTTGGCAAACCATTGAACAAGATGGTCACTGCATCATGCGCTGTCAGATGGACTTCTGTGGTTGTCTGGAACGTGCTTCCTTCCCATATTAGAATGCCACTGGAGCTATGCCCTTTTAAATCTAGAATGGAAATGTATTTCGTAAGAACTGATTTGTGTGTTAAGTTCGTTGTCCATCCAGCGCACCTCCGATAAACACGGACGGCTATGTACGGTGCGAAAAAAGTTCAACACATATGTATACGAGCCTGCAGAACAGGGCTTTCCCTGGTAGTCCACTTTATAGCTGGTTTACTTTATCATCCTGTTGCACGCTTTAATTTAAAACGCGCTAATGTTCGTGCAAATGATGTAAAAATCGTGGTATTTTTTTTTACAGAAACAAGGGTCGGATATCTATGACCAGACATAGAGACCCGACATGTTCAGACACAGCCAGACATTACGTTTCGTGTGCAAAGATATATTTTGAAACCAATGAGCTCTCTTCTGGTTCCGTCCACAACAAGATGATTCATTCGTGATGCCGATATTGAAACAACTGGTTTTAATCCCCACGACAGGTGAAAAAAAAAGGTCTGGCATGAAACACGTGTGTATGCTTACTTTTTATAATTGTTAAATATTTAATGCTTCAGGTAATTAAACTTTAATAACCATCTGCAACCTGTTGTGTTTTGCTACCGGCTGCCGTTTGTTCCCATCACCATAATCGCCACTTTCGTTATTTATTATTTAATTATTCATGTGATTTGTCTGTATTTTTAAACCTTCATTTGTTATCCCGCTTAAACAAAAGACCCTTAAATTCACTTAAAAAAGAGGGTTATGAATTGTGCACAAATTGCGACAGGAAATTAATGTAAACACAGACGGCCCCCCCCCACCCCCCGCTTTGCCAGATTAAGGCCTCCCCATGCGGGTCATGGGGCCTCCCCGTGCGGGTCGTGGGGCCTCTCCTCTGACCCAACTTCACCCCCCCCCCACGCTTGGCGAGTGTGGGCTGAAGCAGAGGTCGCAACCGGGTACTCGATACCCGTACCCTACCCGATACCCGGCTACCCGTACGGGTACCGGTTTGCGACCCTGGTGCGGCCGGGTACGGGTACTGGTAGGCCGTGAGTCACTGGTGAGTCACCATTTGTCACTCATTTCGGGTAGGGTACGGGTAGGGAACGGGTACCCATACCCGGCCGGGTACGGGTACCCATTTGCGACCCTGGTGCGGCCGGGTACGGGTAAGGAATCAAAACCCGTTTGCGACCTCTGGGCTGAAGGTGGGGTGGGACCGCACAGGGCATTTGCTGCACTGCCGCCTTCTGCCACCAACGAAAATCATGGTTCACCCCTAAACCACATCCGCATAAACCGTGGCAGATGCGAGTACCCGATGTACAAATGGGAAATAAATGAATAAACTATCCAGTGACGCGACTGTGGTCATCCAGAACAGGACCAACCACACAACGTATTACCACGCAATGCCCCCATCCGCAAATACGAAGGAGACGTCACGGCGATACACCGCTGCTCGTGACGCGGTTGTCTGGGTTTGACCACCCCAATGTTAAATTGCAGTTGTTGTATCTGCATCTACATCAGCCGTACAAAAGAAGAAGACGGTCAAACGCATTGCCCACAAGCAGCCTGCAACAGCCTGTGACGCTTGGTGATCACACATCAAGAAAACTTTTTCCAGTCTGCTCAGCATTTTGAAATTTTGGCCACGACGTCGAAAACGCGACCACGATGCGAGAGGATTTTACTTCTCACCGAAACATTGTCTGGTTCACTGGCAGTAAGACCAGAGCGGGAGGCATGCTAAGCTCGTCGCGGCAGCCACGGTGAGCAAAATACCGGATGTGGTGTGCCGATCGCCGGACAATTTTCTGTGCCACCGACCCTGACACACCTGGCTGGAATTAATCAGTGGCGCTTTATATATATATACGCAGTATATATACACACACACATTATATATACAAAACGCCAAAGATTCATATACATTCAATATACACACAACATAAATATCTAATATATTTCAAATATATAAGATGTTGTAATTAAATATATATATAATGCACAGATATTATATATATGCACGTATTATATATATATTCAGATACACCAGCGTACTCTCGCCAAATTGCACAAACAGCTGCGAGAAGTCGGCGAGACTCGCCCTGCGATGCTGTGAGCGCAATTAGGGCTGGCGAAGCCCCCCCCCCCATCCCTCCGCACCTCCGCCCGGTGCGTATTGACTGCCTCATCGACTTCTCTCAAGTCCTCCTCCCCCTCCCTGCCGACCTTTTGAGAGCGGCACAGCGTCCCTGCGCATCTGTTGCCATCCCTTCCACCCCTCCCCTGCAGCGCACACGCTCGGCTCAGTCCTCCCCGCCGTTCCCCCCCCCCGCCCCCCCAACTAAAACCTCACAGCCATCCTCCCTAAGCTCTCATCCCGCTTCCAAACCACCCCCCACCCCCCCGACATGCACCTAAATAAATATATAATGCAGCGTCCAATTATCCATCCACACAGCGCTTAGCGACAGCGCCTCTTGGGAGAGGGTGTAGGTGTAACGAGGAAGGAGGAGGAGGGCTGGTGAAGGAGAGACGTGGAGAGGGACTCCGAGGGAGTTGGTCCCGTTGCGTTAAAACAAACAGATTTCATTTACAAAAAATAAATGTTGCCCGCGTTTTGTCTTCATTCATTAGAATGTTCATTCTCATTCGGCGTTTTGTCTTCATTCATTAGAAAGTTCATTCTCATTCGGCGTTTTGTCTTCATTCCTTAGAATGTTCATTCTCATTCGGCGTTTTGTCTTCATTCATTAGAATGTTCATTCTCATTCGGCGTTTTGTCTTCATTCCATAGAATGTTCATTCTCATTCGGCGTTTTGTCTTCATTCATTAGAATGTTCATTCTCATTCGGCGTTTTGTATTCATTCATTAGAATGTTCATTCTCATTCGGCGTTTTGTCTTCATTCATTAGAATGTTCATTCTCATTCGGCGTTTTGTCTTCATTCATTAGAATGTTCATTCTCATTCGGCGTTTTGTCTTCATTCATTAGAATGTTCATTCTCATTCGGCGTTTTGTCTTCATTCATTAGAAAGTTCATTCTCATTCGGCGTTTTGTCTTCATTCCTTAGAATGTTCATTCTCATTCGGCGTTTTGTCTTCATTCATTAGAATGTTCATTCTCATTCGGCGTTTTGTCTTCATTCCTTAGAATGTTCATTCTCATTCGGCGTTTTGTCTTCATTCATTAGAATGTTCATTCTCATTCGGCGTTTTGTATTCATTCATTAGAATGTTCATTCTCATTCGGCGTTTTGTCTTCATTCATTAGAATGTTCATTCTCATTCGGCGTTTTGTCTTCATTCATTAGAATGTTCATTCTCATTCGGCGTTTTGTCTTCATTCATTAGAATGTTCATTCTCATTCGGCGTTTTGTCTTCATTCCTTAGAATGTTCATTCTCATTCGGCGTTTTGTCTTCATTCATTAGAATGTTCATTCTCATTCGGCGTTTTGTCTTCATTCATTAGAATGTTCATTCTCATTCGGCGTTTTGTCTTCATTCATTAGAATGTTCATTCTCATTCGGCGTTTTGTCTTCATTCATTAGAATGTTCATTCTCATTCGGCGTTTTGTCTTCATTCCTTAGAATGTTCATTCTCATTCGGCGTTTTGTCTTCATTCATTAGAATGTTCATTCTCATTCGGCGTTTTGTCTTCATTCATTAGAATGTTCATTCTCATTCGGCGTTTTGTCTTCATTCCTTAGAATGTTCATTCTCATTCGGCGTTTTGTCTTCATTCATTAGAATGTTCATTCTCATTCGGCGTTTTGTATTCATTCATTAGAATGTTCATTCTCATTCGGCGTTTTGTCTTCATTCATTAGAATGTTCATTCTCATTCGGCGTTTTGTCTTCATTCAATAGAATGTTCATTCTCATTCGGCGTTTTGTCTTCATTCATTAGAATGTTCATTCTCATTCGGCGTTTTGTATTCATTCATTAGAAAGTTCATTCTCATTCGGCGTTTTGTCTTCATTCCTTAGAATGTTCATTCTCATTCGGCGTTTTGTCTTCATTCATTAGAATGTTCATTCTCATTCGGCGTTTTGTCTTTATTCATTAGAATGTTCATTTTTCTTGGTTCTTTCGGTAAAGTCACGTAGAATGGAAATAATAAAATGATAAAAATAAAACATAATAAAATAATTCTCGCGACGTTTCGGCCACAACGCAAGCAGCCGTCCTCAGGACTTCCCTCATACGTGACTTTACCGAAAGAACCAAGAAGATGAATCTCTGCAGTCACGAAAGTTTTAAATCGAAATGTACAATGTTCATTCTTATTCGGGGTTTTGTATTCATTCATTAGAATGTTCATTCTCATTCGGCGTTTTGTCTTCATTTATTAGAATGTTCATTCTCATTTGGCGTTTTGTCTTCATTCATCAGAATGTTCATTCTCATTCGGCGTTTTGTATTCGTTCATTAGAATGTTCATTCTCATTCGGCGTTTTGTCTTCATTCATCAGAATGTTCATTCTCATTCGGCGTTTTGTATTCGTTCATTAGAATGTTCATTCTCATTCGGCGTTTTGTCTTCATTCCTTAGAATGTTCATTCTCATTCGGCGTTTTGTATTCATTCATTAGAATGTTCATTTTCATTCGGCGTTTTGTATTCATTCATTAGAATGTTCATTCTCATTCGGCGTTTTGTATTCATTCATTAGAATGTTCATTCTCATTCGGCGTTTTGTCTTCAGTCATTAGAATGTTCATTCTCATTCGGCGTTTTGTCTTCATTCATTCGAATGTTCATTCTCATTCGGCGCCACGTGGCCGTGCATTCTTGGGGCAGATGCCTTACCCGCTGACTTGGATGAGGCGAATGTGTTTACGAGCATGTTGAGGTTTGATCATCAGAGAGCCGCTGATTAAAGCGTGCGTACCAGCGTTTAAAATCAGTTATTTGTTTTTTTATTTATGCTCCGTTGTCAGTCCCCTTTCAAAATTTCTCCCTTTTTCTTTTGCCCCCCCCCCTCACCGGAAAATCGATCGGCTCCGTTTAAGGACAGTAATTATAAAATGATCCCTGCTAATAATGCTACGTTGTTGATCTTGAATGATCCGCCAAAGCATGTTAAGGAAATCGCACGACCTCCTCGCTTGTGCCACATTTATCAGCTACGCTTTTTGCAGGGTTAAATAAAAAAGAATAATGATGATAAAATAGCATTCATTATAAGGTAATGGCACTAAATATACAAATTCAATTTGCCGTAAGCAACATTCATAATGAACACATTATGTACGAACGTATGGGAATGTCTAAGGGAGAAGTCGTTTATATTCAGTTCAACATGTTTATTTAACCAGGCGAGGGCCCCAGCAAGAGTCATTATTTCTCAGGTATGTAGAGTGTAGTGTAGGGGGAAAAGTATTTAATTTTTAACAAACCCATTTGTGAAATATTTTCAAACTTGAGACTAAGCCTGACATGTCACACCATGGCCCGACGTGGTCAGTAATTGAATAGCATGTTCTTTCCCACCTGGATTTTATTTCCACAGCCAATTTCAATTGTTAGCATCGCACACACACACACACAAACGTGTATTTATGTTCACATTACGTGTGCGCTATATACATATCGTGCAACTAAAACACAAATGTGTTAAAAGCTGTTTTGCAGAGCAATATATATATGCCTATACGACACAGTACAGCAAGTAGGTTTTCGCTGCGAGCGATCTGTGCAGCATTTGGCACGCCTTCCTTGTGCGGATTGTCTTCAGGCACTGCCAAGCTGAAGCAAAGATGCTCAATAAATATTGGTTAAACGTTAAAAAAAGCCAGCAAGCTATTGCTGCCAATTTAGGTTTAGACTCCGTGAGGGCATACTCTTTGGTTCTTTCGGTAAAGTCACGTAGGTATAAAATAAAATAAAATAGATCACGACGTTTCGGGCGCAACACACTTCCGTTAGGGCACATGATCAATACTGTATTTATTTTAAATATATAATCGCGATGAAATCGGATCGTGTGCAAGAGCTAGACGGAATGTCACGACCGGCATGACCAAGAGGTCGGGTGACCGCTTGCAGGAAGCCTTCATCGAGCAGTGGATGGCTGCTGCTGATGATGAAAAGTGTGAATAATTAATCAATGGGAGAGTACTTACGTCGAAATCGTTCCAGAGGCCTCCTTCCTTCAGCATCGTAGTGTTCCTTAGCGACTGTGGGATGAGGGCGGTGTGTGGGGTAGAATGAGAGGCATTGGTGGGGAGAAAGGCAGAGCGGGAGATGAGAAGACAATTAGACGATTCAACATCAACAAGAACAAATAACTTGGTGAAACTGCAGATTAACCAAACGTACGCCACTGAAAAAACTGATTTTACACTGAATATGCAACAGTTTCATACTTTCTCCCCACTCTCACTTTACACATGCAACATTTCATGTTTACATACACGTTGATATTTAGGATGCATACGATGAAACACACGCACAGACACACGGTGGTCGAAACGTGCCCGCGGTACACACGATGGCATGCCGCGCCGCCACTCCTCAGCACACGACACATGGATGTCCCGACACGTTTCAGGTCGGTTGCTCTGATGGTTCTGCAGGAGTGGAAACGGCAGTTGACGTGGGCCGCTCTCTACGAACTGGTTCCATAGCAGCAGCACTTTCATATTTAATTTTGATCGTTGCGGATAGAGAAGACGGGGCATGTGATGACGCATAGACTCATTGACAACAAATTAATATCCCTACGCTCATGATACTTGCATAATGCCGTGCGCGTAAGAATCATGCTTAAACTGTGACAAGTTATAGTCGAATGCTAATGTCGATGTTTATGCTCGTGAAGTGAACGTAACTTATTAAAAGGTGGGGGGGGGGGGGGTAATGGTGAGCAAGACAAAATATGTATGCAAAAACATTTTTTTTTTCAATATATCGACACTGTAACTGTGACAATTAATTTAATGGCTCCAGGGAATTGATGAATGTATCTTGCCTCGAGCAAACTATTTCAAATGTTGCGGCTAAGAAATAAACATAAAAAAGTATTTGTTCCTTCATTATAAAGACATTTTATATTCAACATCCATTGGACCTCTTGGACGTATGTTGTCTAACAGCATTTGTTTAGGAAAACACTCCGTGGACTGGTTTTGACCTTTTGGGTCTCATCAGTGGTCAGGCTTGTTAAACCAACACTGTAATGCTGTTGGATATTAAATGCACAAGCCATGCATTTCAGTGATGGGACTCGTCAATGCCAAAAATAACACTGCATAGATACCCATTATAATGACTCATTATAAAACAACTGCAGTAGTGGTAAGCTCGTTGAGATTCAGTGGTGGGGGTTATGCCTATTGTTTGTATGGTTTTCAAATATAGCTTGTTGAATATTCCAGGCTTTAATAAATGATAGAATAAATAAGCAGTTTCAGAGCCAATCAGCCGAATTAGGCAAATGATTGGGTTTGAGGGAAATCCATTAGTAATTAAAATTGTTCACAGTAAAACGCACTTGATAAACTTCCAAATTATTTCTCATTCATGGAAATAAAAATCAGTGGAGCGATATGAGGAGATCGCAAGACAAATGTAGAAATAAATCAACTTATTCCCATTCATTTATAGACTGGAATTCATTTTAATGAACAGATATAGACTTGTATCTGTTTATTTGCATGTTACCAACAGTGCTCATTTGGCAAGCGATGTTTGCTCAGTTTGGTTTCCTCACTAAATGGCTTGGAACCCATTCCATGACAATACGCCTCTTGTAGGCGGCCCGTTCTCCCGTGTTCAGCAGCTCGTGCCTCGTGACAGGCAGCAGATGGACCTCGCAGCAAAGCGCGACATTCCATCCCTCTAGACAGGAGCCGTGACATTCGCGTGCCGCTCGAGTTCCGAGTAGCGGGAGCGCACCGGCTCGTTAGCCGGCTCCAGGTGGCTCACTCTCGCACGAGGAGTGCCGGGCGCGACCAGGCTCCACTGCTAGAGGGTGGAGCGACACGGGAGAGGGTGGACGAGGAGAGGGGCCGTGGCTCGAACTATCACTGAGACCGTGGAGGCTACGGCTGCTTGGATTGTCAGAAATTAACGCCAGGAGCGAGAGTCACATTTGCCCCCCCCCCCTACTCACCTTGCCCCCACTGAGCCCGCCCACGTGGACAGTTGTGGCCTCTGCCCAACATCACGTGGAGTTGCTCCTCTCCTCTTGCGTTTGTGAGCACAGGTCGATACCAGATCATCAAGCACGTGATCGTCAGGAGCAAGTCACGAAGTGCCTCGTGGAGCTCCTGGTGGTCGCAGTGAGCGAGCTCACCGAGGAGGGCTCCACACCTCGCAGAAGAGGTTACCCAGGTCAGGAGTAAGGCACGTGACTAGTGTGACAGGTATAGGCGGATGTTGTGTGCCAGGTGTGAATACATTTACTGGGTCACCCACCTGCACAGACCCGGCTGGAATGAAGCCCCGTCACCTGGGAGACGCAAGTTTACAACATGCTGTCACGGCAATGTCAGGCTACTCTTCGCGTTTTAGACGATTCGTCAATTCAATCAATCAAATCGACGAAAAATTGCAAACGACAAGTTTGTGGTCGATTATTTGGGCCCCTGGAAAATTGGCAGCCACCAAGAAATCCTGCCTCCCGAAAGCAGGAAAGCCCCCTACAAGTGATGCCCAATATTGCGTGGCTGGTGATGCCAACGACGTCACCAAGCCCTGCCCATCGCCTCCCATTCCAGTGGCAAGCATCTGAACAGATATTATCAATTTTGTTCCAAATACATTTTTGTTTGTTATCCGATTAGCAGAGGAATGGAACCGACGGTGACCGGTAGAGGAATCGATTATTAAAATAATCATATATATTATATCCCAGCTCCACACTCAGGGTCGCCGTCTGACGTCTTCACACTGGATACGCCTGCTCAGGTGTCGCACTTGAACAGAGGGAATATCCACTGCCACGTGTCAAGTGGAGTGCCGCTCCTAAAGATGCTCTCAGCATTGCGCCTCGGTGACGAGATGTTAACTACCTCGCCTGGTATACAGGAGTTTGTGAGTTCGATCCCGACCCTAATGCCTGTTCTTTATTTGGAGTTTGCGTATCTCTCTCCCCGTGGGTCACGTGGATTTTTCTCCGGGTTCTCCAGTTTGTCCCTCCACATTTAGAAACATGCGTTCAGAGTATATTTGACTGCTATAAAATGCCACGTAAGCCAATTGTGGTTGAGCGATCATTTGTGGCCAGGTCGCTTCTGAAAAAAGAGGTAATAGCTCAGTGGTGAAATAAAAAGTTTAGTTTGAATGTAATGTGGCGATGTCACTGAAAACGGTGCCGCTGTGACCTCGCACGCTCAGCGTTTCGGTTGCCCTGCTCGCTGCCTCCTACTCACAGCCAGGTCAACCCTATTTCCATTTCCCATTTAAATCTCATGTTTTTTTTCCACCCATCAATTCACGTGTCTGGGTCATCGAAACAAGGTTTTTAAGACTTCATGGTGCAATTTTCTTTCTACACATTATGAGAAGTGCTGCCTGATGCTCATATTTTAAATTAAATGCATTTTTTTATATAGCTTTTGAAAGGTCAATGCGTCCCCGTGCTTTAAAGGAGCATTGTCCGCCACTCATTTCCATTCGTGATCATATTCCAGTTGCAGAATTTCCACATTTCTATGGCAGGCACAAATATAACCATTACATAAGTGCTCTTCTCCAGCAAGGTGCCGTTAACCAAATCCGATTCAATGTAATAACTCCAAAACACGTATCAATGGGCTGAACTGAATGGATTAGGATTTCAACTCGTGCATTGCGACGATAACAGCGATTTAGGGAGTGAGCCAAGCAAAATAATTTAAGCCCACAAAAAAGAACTATTGTCTTTTGCGTTACACTCTGCTAGTCTATCTCTGAGTGCATGGTTTTACATTCTACAAACCCATTCCGCAATGAATCTCTCCAGGTCTTCAGCTGAATGAATTTGGTTCACTGGTAATGGAGACCGTACATTGCAAGTGTGTAGGACAATACTTAAGTAAATTCGAACTTTGGGCTGACTCTGCCTTATGAGTGAAAGTAATACAACTCCTGCCCACATTTATGGCAGTGCAAATTCAACCATTTAGGTTGTCAGATTTTCCTAGTTAAAAGCATAGACTTAGCACTATATTTGTACCCACAATTTAATCTATGTAGTCTACAGAACATAATTAGAATGTTTATCTATCACTCGTGCACAATCGTCTTGTCCATCAGATATACCACAGCCCGTTTTAGACGTGGCGGATGAGTAGCACAGTTGTTAGCACACTGTGCTACAAACCCAGTGACCTGAGTTAGATTCCCGACGTTGGTTAACGTCAGTGGCGAATTGAGATCTGAACTGATCCTGGGCCACCAAACCTCCACCAACGTGGACCGACCAGTACGGTGAAATATGGCCAAACATCCTCCATTAACAAAATTCATGGGGAGGCCTTCATCCAGCAGTGGATTGAAAATCGGCTGTAATGATTATTACTACCTTCATCTGTTACCATTTTACATAATGCCCGAAAGAACCCAGTTATTAGTACACATGTTGCGGGAGTTTTCATCGCTTGCACTTCTCTCGCACGCTCACCAAATGCAAATACAACGATCCCCCGTATAGACTGAACAGACTGTTGGGGCAAGTGCTGTTAGCTCGCAGCACCTATGAAGACCGGCACTGCACACGAAGGGGTGGGTGGCCAGCACCACCTCCCCAGGGACCATATTTACACATTGCACTAGGTGCTCATTTGAGGCCGAGTCGATCGAGGGGAGACCCAGGAACCGATTAAAAAATCGTCACCGGGAATCGAACTAGGGTCGCCGGGTTCGTAGCGCAGCGCGCGCCAACCACTACACCCACCGCTCCTCACCTCACCAAACGCGCGCGCGCACGCACACAGAATCAGGACAGCGAGGACACCGTCCACGTGGGGATCGATCCCCTCCCCACCCCCCCCGGAGTGCAAGGGACATCCTCTGCGCACGACTGGCGGTTTAACCAATTGGCCGAGCGCCCCACGCCCCGGGGCTCGCGCGCTTCCCTGCAAGCGCCGCGTCGCTTAGCGGCACCGCGCCTCTGGATTACGGCGGCTAATTGGGCGGACGCGAGCGGCTTGACGTCCTCATCACGCGGGAAGCGCGGTGCCGATCGGCATCC